AGTCAGAGTTATACAAAGGTCTTAAATGTCTTGTTAATGTATATTNCATTTGATATATTTAAGAGCTTAAAATTCAAGAATGATCCTGCCAATGTGATGCAGTACATGCTTAAACGACTTAAAAAGAATCAACTTTATGAAATTTGGATGTCGATGGAAAAGAATGAGGAAAATACAAAGTATCTAAAAGACTGTCCATGTAGCACAATGGTGGTTGAACGAAGTTATTAGTACACGATAGGAACATTTCTGAGGCAAATCTACCTATGTGTTTCAACCTAAAGATAAATAATAATCAGTAGTCAGAGTTATACAAAGGTCTTAAATGTCTTGTTAATGTATATTATTCTACTTAAAGTAATAAATGCTTATATTCTGGTACGCAGAGTTTCAAATGCAACTACCCTTTTTTGGGCAGTAAATCACCGTATGAATATATAGGTTAAGAGAGACAAAAAACAGTTATACTCTTAAATTATCTAGTTGATATAGCCGGATTCAGCTGGTTAGTGAGTAAATACTTGCATTACTTGCACTATAATCGGTTTGTTTACGTTTCACACTTGCTTGTTAATACCTTATTCTGTTTTGCGTGGCAGTAACACTGAACATAAGGGACTTGTACATTTAACTACGGTGTAACAATACTTATGCAGGATATAAATATCAACAGGATGTACATTCGTTTTGTTTATTTTCCTGGTTGCCCTAATAATAACAGACATAATTTGTGACATGAAAAATATTCTTTTACACCCTCAAATGAGTTTTAAAAGAAAAGGAAGAGCGACAAAATTGCAGGAACTTGCAAATATCTGCCTTTCACACCCCTGTGTGATAAATAGCAGATATTTATTTTGTATATCATGCAGACAAAACATTAAGGGAGAAACAAGACAGAAGGTGAATGAGCATTTGTGCTCTAATAAGCACCAATTCAATGTGCTAAAAGCGCAAAATGAAATTTTATCAACCAGGAATGATGCAACGGCAAGAACAATAGCAAAAATAGCAGCAGGTAGCTTTTTACAATCTGATATTCCTCTCTATAGAATTAGTTTAGAACCAACTAAAAGAATACTTAAAAAGTTGAACATCATATTGCCATCTGCATCATTTTATCGTGGTCTAATTTTAGAATTGGCCATTGATCAAAAAGATCATATTAGGAAGAAACTAGTTGACAAAAAGCTATTTTTGATAGTAGACGAGACTAAGAAAAAGAAATACAAGATATTCAATGTTATTGTCGGCTTTATTGAAACGCCAGAAGATCAGTTTCTTATGGCTTCAAAAGTCAATGCTGAAAATGCTTCAGCAGATGTACTAGATAGCATTATACGGGGTGTTTTCATTGACTACATGCTTAATATGGAGCAAGTTACAACGTCCGGTGGCAAAGAGAATTTTCAAGAGATTTCATTTACTGTAAGCATATTTTATGCTTTGCACATCTCATGCACAATCTCTCTGAAGAGATTTTTAGGCGTTATAGCCTGATATCAAGTCGCAACGAAACATCTTGTTTGTATTTTAGTCTCTCGGTTCTTTCGTTCATCCTGTTAAAGCAAGGTGGTAAACAATGTAGTGATCCACAGTGTAGAATGTCCAAAACACGACAAAAAAATCTTTGTAAAAATTTTTATGCCCCTACTTCTTGTGTTGGTTGTATTTGCGGAGAGGTAAATACGGCTATACGGTATATTACAAAGGAACAGCTACGACAACGTGGATGTGCAGGGACAAGGTGTGCAGGTCCAGGTTAAAATCCGGAACCGCTCCCAGAGAGCAATAAAGGCGAATGGATAGCTCTGGAATGAGTGAGTCGTATGCCAGTGATCGTGTTGTACGTAAGTTTGTTCAGGCTCTGAAGTGTTTAGCCTTTGTTCCTGCAGCTCAGGTTCAACAAACATTCACTTGGCTACGTAATCACGATGACTTCCCTTCGTGTCTAACCTCCACATATGCTTATTTTGATAAGACATGTGTGAGTGGTGCTAATGGCAATGGTCCGCTATATCCTCTTTGCCTTTGGAATAACCGTGAAAATGTTTTGGCAGACATTCCACGCACCAATAATGGCATTGAAGGTTGGCACAACATCTTCCGTTCAACTTTTGGAACGTTGTGAAGAAGTTGCGTGCTGAAGCAGGGGCAGTACACCTAAAGTCCCTTAGGTTGCAGTCAGGTGAGAACCTGTATAGGCACAAGAAGTACAAACAGATGAGTGAATCACTTCTTGTGTTCGACATTGAGGGGGAAGTGTCTGGGAGAGAAAAAGCGCAGGAAAACGTACAAGCAGAAAAGTAAGATGAAGTTACATATTAAGAATGTAAGAAACGTATCATAAATAAATACTTAACTCTGAATGAAACATTCTAGTGCATCCTATAGCAAATCCAACCCTAACTATACAAGAACGCAACAAAAGCGAATTACGAGATTCTCGGAGAAAACAATATTGATCAAAGATCAGTTGTTAAATTATCCGACAAATCACTCACACACAGCTGCATTAACGATGGAAACATCGATAAGCTGAAGAGGGATGGAAGGTTGTTGGTTGTAGATCAAGATCATAGTGGAGTCCTTGCGACATATACTAAGCTTATGTTGTTACAAGGACCCACCGCTCTGGTTAAACGGTGGAATTTAACCTGCCCAACGTACTAGATTCACCAAAAGGTGAAGAAGACACAGACAGAGTTTCATCCAATAAGTATGCTTCGATGTTCTTGACGACAAATGTGTGATATGTAAAATTTGCAACACAAAATTTTGTTCGTCAAGACTTCAAGTATTTAGAAAGCATGTTACTAATGCAAGTAAGAATAAGATACAATTACCGGTACCTCAACCGCGGGGCTATAAACAAGAAATCACAAAACTTTTGGAGCTAGGGTTGCTCAAAAGCGACATACCTCTGTATAATCTACGCAATCCGTATTTCAGAGACGTAATAGAGAAAGGTTTCGGACAGACTGTCTCTGATACTCATGTAAGGGGGGAATTAAAAATATTTTCTGATCACAAGCAAAACATTAAAAAGCGCAGGTTCTGGAATTTGTTGTTGAGTTTTGTGGACTCCCCAGGAAAAGAAATTTTGGTTGCCTGCAAGAATACAGACAAACCAAGCTCTGCTAAGGTTATTACTGAGGCCTTTGAAGAATATGGCCTTCAGTATTAGAATTTGGTTTTATTGGTGACAGATGCTGCACGTTACAACGGGTTGTTTTTCAGGCAGGTAAGTGCAAAATATCCACATTTTACACAATTGTGCATCACTGATATTCACCAAATTCAGTGATGTGAAGGTGTTTATCAGTAACCTTAAACAGGGTAATAAGGTTCAATGTTAGATTTTGCGGCATTCTTGAGCAAAAATATGATCAAAATAAGAAACAGTTTGATCAAATTTGCAAAAAAATAGATCAGAAAGTCACAGATATGTGATGGAACACATTGATAATGAGATATTAATCAATGCTATCCGTTACATAGGGGCAAATTTTGCCGAGATCAGCAAACCAACGAAGAAATTCGAGGGGCAACGATATGATAAACGAAAGAATATGTTCTTATACTTCGCCTTGCTCATCTCCCGAGTTTGAAAGATATTTCAGTATGCTGGAAAAGATGCTTGCAAGGGATAAAAATTTTAACCCCTCGAATATTGAAGCATATTTCATGCCCAAGTACAACGACATTGAATAAACCACTAAGGGTTAAAAATTTTTCATATTGCGTAGTGTTCATATTGAAATCAAATTAAAGATGTAATATGAATTTATGTAGTTTGAAATAGAAATTTTAAAATCAAATCAGAGCTCTATTAAGTGATCTAAATTTGGATCACCTAACTCTATGTAACTTGTCCCATCACCACCATATATAGTAATGGGTATAACTCTTGTGATCTTCTTCTGGTAAGCAAATAATACGGGTTCATTGAGTATCTGTTTATTCAACAGTAAAAATTTTGTGTGTAAACAAACAGTTATTTTTTGATCTGTCGTTCTTGTGAAACATTGAAACAGACTTTAAAGTGGTATCATATCATAATAAATTGACACATGAAACATTTATTCAAACAAAACACGCATTGGTGCGATTTCTGAGACTATACGCATTTGTTTATTTTTAGTTGTTACCTTAATTCACACATTTTACACTAGGGTCAACCCTTCTGTAAAATAATGCTTAAGATTTTTAAACCCCAATGTTGAAATTTTGTCAAATTATACCGCAAAAACGCTAAGGATTTCTACTTGGGACATGAATATTTTATATATAAAATTTTTCACCCATCGTCGATAAAATATATCAATTCGTCCTATTTATTTACTACTTGTTTCTAGTCAACAGATGCTGTCTAACCTTAATCTTTTTAGAAAACTTCTTCACTAACTCTACAAGGTGTGTTTGACAGTGTAAAATAGTACATGTTATCGTCAATGTCATGGTTCTCCAGGGCTACAGGCTCCGGCAGACCCTCAGTCTTACGCTCACTATTCTTTCTTGTTGCAGACATTTATTTAACGATGGGTTCCCCTGAACCTATCTTATTTATATTTATTATTTGTTTGATACATCAACAAGTCACTCCTTTGTTTGGGCAGCCTTAGTCGTATGACATGTTGTCCCTGCAACAGTACATGTTCGATCTTTTTACAAAAAAAACCTACAGGGTCATTTTACAACATTTTACCTGATAAGTAATTGAAAACATTCAAAAGCACTGACATTCCCCTGCTCCAAATGACACTAACTTATACGTGTCGTCGTAATATAAATTGGAATAGAATGAAACAGAGTCATAATATTGATCTGAATAAAAGAATTGATCTTTCCTCCGACATAGTAAAACTGTACACATGATACAAAACTTGCTTAAAATGATATCCTGTAGAAACCTGATTAAAATGTATCTCAAAAGATTACACATGCAAGTAGATTGTTAATGTTGATACATTGGCTATTAAGATGTTCAATTGGTTTACTTAAATACGTAGAACATTTGCACTATTGTCGTCTGCCTTCCTATGAATTGCAACGACACAAGATGCTTTAGTCTTACTGAGTGGTCTTGTTTCTCCGCACTTAACAACGTCACCTACTTTAACTAAACCATTCCAACATGGGCTCAAATGGACATTGATCTTAGTGTTTCTTCTTGCGTACCTCTTATACTTCTGGTCGTAAAACAGATACTTAATTGCAACAACAATTGTTTTCTCAGCTTTCATCTTAATCACTTGACCCAGGAATATCCTACCTCTTACTGTAATATCACTTGTAAAAGGGCACTTTTTGTCCACGTAGTTTTCGTGCGCAGTTTCAGGCGTTTTTATTCCAAAACCAATTTCTTTAACGAATTTAGCTTTCAATACCTCTTCCTTTGATTGATACGGGTTGCATTTGTTCGTAATCTGCTTTGGATAGACTTTTTCTTTCACTGTTGTCTTGATTGCCATGGGCAAAATTTTATAATTTTTTTAAGAGGAGTTTGAGTGAATGTTCGGATTGATTATGTTTATTTACTAGCTGACTAACTAATTGTACAAACAACACATGAGTTAGACATGTGTTATTTGTTTGTCCATGGCTCTGCTACCACGTTTGTAATCTCAGTCAAACAGGGTTTCAAGTAAAATAAATACAGGAAGTTTACCCCCTTATGGCCATTAGTGAACGATCAAGGAGCCGAGCGTTTATTGTAAATGACTACAAGAGGATTATGAATAACAAGAACAATCAGTATGATTTTAGTGTAGGACTGATTAACGATGATATATTCACATGGGAAATTGTGATTATTGGTCCACCAGACACTCCCTTTGAAAATGGGATATACACTGCAAAAATGATCTTCCCGATAAACTATCCTGAGGCTCCACCAACATTCAAATTCCTAAGCAAAATGTGGCACCCAAACATCGATAGAAATGGAAATGTTTGCATAAGCATATTGCACAAACCAGGTAACGATGAATACGGGTATGAAGACCTCAATGAACGTTGGCTTCCTGTACGTACTCCAGAGTCAATCATTATTAGCATAATCAGTTTGTTGAATTCACCAAATTGTGAAAGTCCAGCAAACATAGAGGCATCACAGAATTACAGGGATAATATTGAACAGTACAACAAGAAAGTTCGAAAACTTGCAGAGAGCACGTTGGAAGAACCAGTAATGTTATAAATTTGTTGACCTTCTTCCCAAGCAGAATTCTTATTGGTTGCTTCTCTCCTTTTGTGTTCTTAAAAAATCAGCAACAGCTTCCAATGGACCAGACTCCTAATGATGAACGCACGTTAACAGCAAGACATTATTTTACAGGCATAAATGCACTCTGCTGTATACGAATTCTAGTAATCCTAGAACTAGCAATCAAGGCATTCAAAATACTGAGTATTGCAACAATTCTCTACATTAAGCGCCATGAAGAGGTTGAACAGAATCTTAAGGTTTTTTTAGCAGTCTATGCTGTACTGACCTTTTTCAAAGGCATTGCATTCTACAAGAAAAATACCTCATTCTTTAGAATTCGAAGAATACCGGATTATGAAGAAAATACAGACATCGCACTCATAAACAATGTACTGGAAGCTACAATGCTATTCTGGTATATCATTGGATTTCACTGGGTTCAAGAATGTGAGACATGCAAGTATACTCAACCATTGGTTTACTATACAGCCTTAATTTGGATCACATTGGGATTCTTCACTTTCCTAGCTCCACTACTTGCAATTGTGCTATTACTATTCCTAATCTCATATGTGAAACCAAAACTCAAGACAATTGTATATAGCTCAATTGAAGAACTTCCAGATGAGAATGATAGATGCACTATCTGCTATGACGATTATAAGGTTGGTAATGGTGTCAAAATACTTCCATGTGACCATCACTTTCATGCAGAATGTATTGATGAGTGGTTTAATGTGAAAGATTCATGTCCATTATGCAAGAAAAGCATAAACCTGTTATATGACTTGGTTGATGCAGAAGATCCAGAAATTTAGTTTTAAAAAACGGCAAAAGGTCACTGGTATAAAGATACAGATAAAACAACAATGCCTGTAATGATCGATGCAAATAAAATGTAGTATAAAATTCATAGAAATCCACCCTTAATCAATCCCCTATGTTCGACTTGATCCAAGATATTCTCAGTAAACCAGAAATTAAGAAAGAATTAGAGACATTCTATCATGGATACAGATTTCTTGTACTACAAATAGGATACTTCTCAGTTCTATGCATTTACATCTTTGCAAAATGCTATTATCTGCTTGGACTTAATGCAAACCCATATACCACCACATTCTTCTCATTGCTTGTTGCCATGATCATATTTAAGAGTGTGTTGGTGTACAAGAAAGAGATTTACACCGTTTACCCGAGCTTCTTGCTCTACATGTTCTGCCCTGACTCAAATCAACTCTTAGGATTCATGGCTTTCTTTTTGAATCCAATATTCTACATGATTTTAATCAGAACGTTGCAAAGTAGCACATGCTTCATTGTAGATGAATACAGAGATGCACACTTATCTGTGCTACTCCTATTCATGCTGCCATTCATTCTGGAAATATTCATATTCATGTTTCTGATAATCATCTTCATGACGGCTGACGTCATATCAAGCAAGACTATCATCACAAAGCATATGGAAAAGCAATTTGAAAAGGATTCTGTCGATTGCTTGATCTGCAAATGTGAATTTGAAGAAAATGAACTCCTGACAACACTGAAATGTGCCCACAAGTTCCATGATGATTGCATCATTACATGGTTTAAATTCAATAACGCATGTCCACTCTGTAAACAGACGTTATTACAGCAGGGATCTTTGCGTGAGATTGTTTCCAAGACATATAATTGAGAAAGTAAAATATTTTACCTCATGATTCTTCCTGTAGAAAAGTTGATTCTGGCGTACACAAACGAAAAGGCCACAAAGAAACTCCTCCCATATAATACAACAGTTGATCTGTTCATTAATGAAATCAGAAACAAAACACTAGATGATTCAAAACAAGCTGAGTCAATTGTGAATGAGGTTGTTGAAATTGAACTTAATAGACTCAAATTCTATATTAAGGAGTATCTTAGATGTAGGCTACACAAAATATGTATCAATTTGTTCGTTCCTGAAACAAATTTAGTAGACAAAGAGCGTTGCTATAGAAAAAAGTTACTGAAGTTGCTTGAAGAAAGAAATTTGCTTGTAGATGAAAAGGATAAGGAGATTGAATATGTTGGCTTTGAAGTATGTAGGAATATTGATAAGGCGATCCTGGATGGGGAAGTTGTTGATTTGATTCAGGGTGACTTCTATATTGCTAATATTGATGAGATCTGTGACAAAATAGCCAGTGGAGAAATAAGACTTGTCTGACCATTTATTTGTCACCAATTCTTGTTTGTGATTTTGACGCTCTTTAGAATCAACTTTGGTGTCTTTTTCTTGTTGCAAATCAGAAAACAACACAGGTAATTTGGGCAATTGGTGAATCGATCATATCGAGATGGATTTTGTTCTCCCGACTCATATGAAACTTCAGTGGTTTCTTCATGTTCCAACTCTTCTATTTTACTCGTCTCATGATCATTGCATTCATCTGCACTTTGCTCTTTACATCTATTGATGCTGCCGTTGTTGCACATGGATTCAAAATACCCAGCAATATAAATCCAAAAGGAGGCGATATTGCCTTTTAATTGATTTCATAAATCATCATGTCTTCACTCCACATCTGTGCTCATTGCAATAGTTGCATCTTGATTCTCTTCCTGTAGTTTTCTGTAGATGAATTCGTCACAACTTTCCTCCTCAACAAATTCACTTGGTGTTCTGTTCAATTGTACAGATGGTGCTGTCTTTATGTTTCTAAGATTCTCGTAAATTCTGTTAATGATTTTGTCAACGTCTTCTCTCTTATTCATGTTCTCTGTATTTGACTTTGGAATAGTCAACTTGAATGTAGGCGTGTAATAGTCAATGAATTCGTTGTATGGCACATCCTCATTCAACCTGATTCCTAATGCCATTCCAGTATCGTATGTCCATGCTCTAGCCACATTTTCAATCGTGTAGCCTCCTCCTCCCAAAATCAGCATTGGCAAATTGAAGCTTTTCACGAATTCAACACATCGACCATGACCTTTTTCTGTGAGGTTGAAGCACCCCAATTTGTCTCCTGAAAGACAATCCGCCCCACATTGTAATACGACTGCTTTAGGCTGAAACACTGCCATAATTCTCTCCACAACTGGAGTAAAAATACTCTCATATGCTTCGTCGTCTATTCCGTCTTTCAATGGCACATTCACAGCATAATTTTCACCTTGTTCCAGTCCACGATCCTCAAGGCGACCAGTTCCTGGGAAGAAATCACCAAACTTATGAAACGAAAGCGTCATCACGCGATCCGTCAAATAGAATGCTTCTTCAACTCCATCTCCATGATGCACATCAATGTCAATGTAAAGTACTCTTTCATGCATTTTCAATAATTCCAAAATTGCAAGAACAATATCGTTCACATAACAGAAACCAGACGCCTCTGCTTTCTTAGCGTGATGTAATCCGCCAGACCAGTTGATGATCGTTTCATACTCTTTTGTATTCAGTTTGTTTGCTGCCATGATTGAAGCACCTGCCACACTTCTACAATAATCAAATAGACCAGAGAAAACAGGACAGTCGTCCCTCACGTTGAATCGGTTAAGATCTGGTAGAAGTTCGTGCATATTCTCACCAGATACACTAGATAGGAAATCCATGTATTCGCTAGTATGAAAATTCAGCAAATTTTTGAATGTAGCCTTAGTCGGTTTCATAATGTTCATGTGCTTATGTAAATCGTAATTCACAACTAATGAGTGTGTCATGCTCACACGCAGTGGCTTCATTGGATGAGCTCGAGCATAATTGTAGTTTGCAATCTCATCATCATGTAAATAAAGAACATTTTTCATTAAGGGCAATAAAAAATGTAGAAACATTTATTTGAATTCAAATAATAGTGTACCTGCGACACCTCCAAGCATGTCCAATTGCTCACCTAGTTCATTTTCAACTGGAATAACGTATATGCTTGCTCTAAAAGACAATGCCTCCTCAATAACTTTTTCTATAACTCTGCGTTTTTCAACGGTACTGGGCCTATACAACTTGTCAGTGATAAAAAGTTTTTCTAATGCACCGTAATCAAATACTTCCTTAAGTTCTTTGAATCCAACAAATAGCAGCTTATCATTACCCAAATTGTACCTGTTTAGAAACAACTGCATTTGCTTCAAATCCTCAATATGCTGAACATTTGTAAATTGACGTGCATGTGTTGGATCCACGATGATTTTAGAAATTACTTTGGCATTTGGAATGTGTTTGTATTCACCTGACAGTTGGAGTAATACTGGTGTTTTACCAGTGGTTTTGGTTAAGAAATTCTTAAATTCCATTCCTGATTTGTAAGCACTTGCAACTATTAGTGTATTGAACTTCTTTTCTACATCCATAACTGTATTTGCAATTTCTTTGTAGTTTTTGTTCTTGAGGTTATGTTTTGACAATATTCGCGTGTTTGAATTGCTGAATGATGTAATTACACACTCCTTCTCATAGAAAATCACGAACAGGATATCATGAGTATCTTTTGCTGCGTCTTTAATTGCCCTGATGTCCATTTTAGTCCACTCGTCTTTTTCGATTACAAATTTCTGATTTAACTCTATGTTTAATGTGTGGTATGAACCTATGGACACGTGTTCATTTTCTTTACAAACTGTTCCTTTTACATGCAGAATGCCATATTCAAGATCAGCCGTGATTGTTTCTATTTTTATCTGTATTTTTGTAGTAATTTTTGTTTGCGTTTTATTATCAAAAGACACTTTGCGTGTCGTTTTTGATTCTATTTTATCTCCTTTTACTAATACATTTGATAGAACATAGAAATCATCAGCGCCTGTTGCAGTCAACACCATCTGACTAAAGTTATTTCCACACTCTGCATTATTTTTCAATATCTTCATATGGGCTATATGACAAAATTCAAAAAAATATTTGCTGCTTTTCTTGAAGAAAGAAGTAAGGGTGCCGGTGGAACTATTCTGGTGATCGGTGGTTCAGAAATGTACACGGGTGCAGTAGAATTTGCAACATATGGTGCATTAAGAGCTGGTGGAGAATTGATCTACATTTTGTCACCTAACAAAACAAATGTTGGTGTTCTAAAACATATTTCAGAAGCAATTGTCTGTGACTTGCGTTTTGATGAACGAATATTGAATAGAATCACTGCATGTGTAGTTGGTTCTGGACTTGGTCGCATTTCTGATGATACACTTGATATGATAATCAGAATAGTCAAATATCTTGACAATAGAGGAATATACACTATTGTAGATGCAGATGCAATTCATTATTATAAGGAGGGCGTATTTAACAATATGAGAAACATAATTCTGACTCCAAACAGCAAGGAAAGGAAAAACCTTGTTGTTTTTGATAAAAATCACTATTCTGTAAATAAGGGCAAATCTGATGAAATATTTCAGGGTGATGAAATGAAAAAGCAGGTTGTTATAGAAGATCAGAATAAAAAGAGATGTGCAGGTCAAGGTGACCTTTTAGCTGGGGTTATTTCAGCAATAGTCTCTACAGGTCATTCAGATGTGGTAGAGTGTTGTGAATTGGCATGTCTAATTGTGAAACAAGCAAGTAAGGATGCTTTCAATAGATTGGGGTTTGGTTGCATCACTAGTGACATTGTAGAACAGATTCCATTTGCATTACAGATCTATACACCAACTCGCCTTTGAAAAAATTGTGACAAATAAATTCAATGCCTGAATAACGGTTTTTAATAGCGGATGTTATCATCAGGTAAGGTTGGATTGAAATATTACAATCCATGATATATTAGAAACAAAATTAATCCTAATATATCATTTTGGTTAATCAAATTATATGGCATAAATCAAATAGAAAGCTACATGAGGGTAGCACCAACCTAGGTATGCATGTTGAATTTAATAGTTTCGCTTAAAAGTAGCTGTTTTTGTTTTGTATGGATCCATATTTCAACACGTGTCCTGGCAGATCATTCTGTAAAAACAACATAATCAAGTTGTCATTGGCACAAATTGATGTCCTAATCAGTATATTCAGCAAGTGTCCTAGGCCTACTTTCAATGAGCGTGAAGAAATTGGCAAGAAGCTGAGTATACCTGGGGACAAGATCAAGAACTGGTTCCAAAACCAGCGAGCCAAAATCAAGTCGGAAATCAAAGAACGCGACTTCTGGAATACACGTATGAAGCCTGTTGTTAGGCAATTTTCCAACATCAGAGTGTATCCAGGTTGCAACAACTTTTTCCAACCTCGTGACTTTAACATAGACGAAAGTTCTAGTCAGTAAATCATTTGACTTATCACAGTGCAATCAGTGCCATAAAAATAGTGCTTCCTATTAGCAACCCAAATGCCACGAAGTCTGCTGTCGATTTGAGCTCGAATATCTTTCTCTTTTTAATCTCACATTCACTCTTCTGTGTACTGCTAATGTTCTCTGTTTGACTCAACTGCTTATCAACCTGCGTGTAAAGTCCTTCTTTCTCTCCATCAATAAATGATGTGAATGCAACTTCTCGTGCATAAATTTCCAGGACCATTTTCTTTTCAAAATTTGTCTCAAGTGACAGGCTGATGTTCTTCAACTGTCTCTTCATTTTTGCAATGCTCTCATAAAATGAGGTCTTCTCCACCTTGTTGTTTGACAGGTTCTCAAAGTCTTCTTGCACAAATTCAATTTTGTTGAACAAGGAAAGAAACAGCATCGATTTCAAGTGGAACTTTTCAACTGGGCTTTCAACCAGGAAGTTCTTCAAATCATTCGATGCAATTTCTGCCTTGACTTGAATTTGATTAATCTCGTTATACAATCGCTCTTTCTGATTCTTGTCAGTGCTTTTCAGGTTCAATCCAGCTGTCGCTGCAAAATTGGCAAATCCTTCAGTGAATGTGCTTTGACATCCTTCAACACTTCCTAGAATGCATATTTTGTCCAATATCTGCGCATATACAATCATATACAGCCCAAATACAAGATCAATTCCCACACAAATGAATGTTGTCCAACGCAACAAAAAGGCATAGCGCAGCTTGAATATTATGGCAATCATGAAGTACAGTCCCAAGATAATGTGGAGTACAAAGTAAGTCGTCAGGAATATGGTCGTTGGGTTCATGGGAGTGTATTCCAGTGTACTAGTGCTTTTATGTTTCTTATTTTTGACTTGTAAAGAAAATTCTGTTTCTTCGGCTGTGGCAGTTGTTAATGATTGAAATACGTCTTGTAGTTTCATTACGTTGTCTATGTCTGTCTTCATTTCTTTTGATGCTTGTTCAAGGTTTTTTATGGAGGCATTAAATGATTGCATCTCTTTTTCAATTTTGGTTGCTTGAAGGTAAAACTGCCTGAATTCATCCTTAAACTCCTTAAATGCTTCCTTGATTGTCTTAAATATCTTCTTGTATGTCTTAGTATTCTCATGCAATTTGATGTTTGCTTCATGTTCAGTTTCTATGGTTTTTGTGATCTTCTTCATGTAAATATCAACATCTTTTTGATTATAGTTTGTGTTGGACCTTGATTTCATTGGTCTAGTATTGGTTTCTGATGTTTCTACTGCTTTTTTCTCTTTTGCTGAGCTATGATTCTTCTTAAGTGTTGTTTTATTACCTGTTTTTTCTTTTTCTTGTGTCTTTTTTTCATTCTTCAGGTTCACTTTTTTATTTTGGTCGATATGTTCTACTTCAGTTGCTTTGTTGACTTCATTTTCAGAAGATTCCTGTTTTGATTCTCCTGATTCTTCTTTCTCTACTGCCTTTTCCTGCTTTTCTTCTTTAACCTTTTTAGATTCTTCAGGTAAGTTATTAATCAGTACAGATGGATTCTCAAATGCACTGGTCACCTTTTTCTCTTTATTTTGTAGCTCATTCTGCAACATAATCCCAGTAAGGTTTGGTTCTTCAAATGCTGATTTCATTAGGCTACTTCTATTCGGTATTAAATGGCTTGAATGAATAAATGCATCAAAAATGGGTGTAAGTCGACTGTCAAGTGCTTTCAAGGCTGAATTGGTATTCCTACTACCATAAGATACAGCACTATCATTTGGATTTGATGTTCGAGCAATAACATTGAAGCTGTATCGATACATAATTGCCGTGAATATTAAGAAGCTGCCCGTTGTATAGTAATAGTAGTCGATATTCTCTCGTCTTTTGCGTGAAACCAATACAACCAAACTTCCAATTATCCAAATCACACAAATAAGCAACAGGCAATCAAATGCAATACTTTCCAGCATATATTCAAGAAATACCATGGACACATTATTGATGACATCTAACTTCAATGGATCACCCAGTATTAAATACCTGATTTGTTCGAACAAATACATGTTATGTGAAGTTGCGTGTTTTTGTCACGGACATGAAACCTAAATAAACGAACATGCAAAACACAGTCCTTCTTCTTAAATTGAATTGTTGTGTGTATTTTGCACTGGAAACCCCAGAATGCAAAACACTCACGATTTTCTTTTCAAAATTATTCTGATTGGAGACAGTGGCGTAGGTAAAACGTGTCTAATGCAGCAATATACTGAAAAAACGTACAGTGAAAACACTTCTGCAACCATTGGTGTTGACTTCAAGATAAAAACAGTGGTAATCGATAATAAAAAGGCAAAACTACAAATATGGGATACAGCTGGTCAGGAAAGATTCAAATCTATTGTATCCAACTACTATAGAGGTGCTAATGGTGTATTTATAGTTTTTGATGCTCTAAACAGAGACACGTTTGAGCATGTTGGTAACTGGCTTGCTGAATTTAAACAAAGAAACTCCTTGGAAGATGCAGAAGTGTTTGTTTTGGCTAACAAAGTAGACGAAATAGATAAGGTTGTAGTTTCTCGTACAGAAGTGGAGCATTTTTGTAAGAATAATGGCATCAAAAGGCGTAATTTTTATGAGGTAAGTGCCAAAACAAACTATAAGGTTGAAGAAGTCTTTCTAAATATCACAAAAAACATGATAAGCAGATTTGGACATCTTAAGATAAACAGAAGCACGAAAAACAGACCATATACAAGAAACGTGGGTGGTGGTGGTTGCTGCTGATGATAAATTTATATTTTGTTTATGGAGGGCTGTTCATGTTTGAGTTAGACGAAAAAGAAAGACTGATTTTGGGATTAGTAGAAGAGTATGCACGTACACTCGTTCCAAAAACTGTACCTAGAGTCGCAGGTGGATGGGTTAGAGACAAATTGATTGGAATTGCATCACATGACATTGACATCGCCCTCGACACAATTTCAGGTGAGAAATTCGTAAAAGGTTTGATTCAATATAACTCGCTAAGTGTAAAGATTGGAAAGATAGAAGCAAATCCAGATAAATCAAAGCATCTGGAAACAATTGTAGTGAATCTACATGGGCTTGATGTTGATTTTGTACATTTAAGAAATGAGAAATATACAGAAAGTCGAATACCGACGATTACGGTTGGAACACCAGAGGAAGATGCATTTAGAAGGGACATCACTGTAAATGCACTCTTCTACAACATCTACACAAAAGAAATAGAGGATTTCACAGGAAGGGGATTAAATGACCTGAAAAACAAAATAATCGATACACCCCTTGATCCAATGAAAACCCTGTTGGATGATCCACTCAGAATCCTTAGAGTATTCAGATTTCATGCCAAGTTGAATTTCACAATTTCAGATCGATTTTATCAAAGTATCAAAAATCAAAACATCAAAGATGCGTTCAGAACAAAAGTATCAGCGGAGAGGGTTTGGGCCGAACTACAAAAGATGTTTTCATATGACAACGGCTGCTCTGGTTTATTAGACATTTGCAAACACAATTTTATAGATCCAATATTCAAAATCAAGGCTGATGATGATATTTACAATGATGCTATCAGATTCTATGGCAGGATAAAGTCATATTTAGATAAAAATGTCACGTTTCTAACGACTGATAGCAAGATGATACTCAAATTGTATATTGTACTTCATAGAACAATACGCAAATACGAAAACAAAGCATTTTACAATTACACTATTCTAAGAGATGCATTAAAGGCGCCAAACATTATCTGCAAGGCTATTAACGTCATTGAATCAAATTATCAGGCATATATGGACAACATGAGCGAAGATTCACTAATTGATTGTCTATTAGATTCTGGCTTTCACTGGAGGATAATTGTGGTGATAGCATATGGAGCAGGTAAACTGAAAAATGTTGCTGATATTATTGAGAAAGTAGATGCAAAAGAACTTGAAGAGAAGGCCTTGAAATCCAAATTCAAGGTGGATGGAAATGATTTAAAAGGACTGGTTGAAAACAAAAGTGAAATAAAGAATCTGCTCAGGAAGTGCAGAGTCACCGAAATAAAGTACCCAAACCTAACAAAAGATGAAATAATAGGACGCATCATGAAATCATAAATTACTTCTCTATGGTCTTCTTGTAGATAAGAATAATCTGGGCTGCAATTGTCTTGGCAATCATGAGCACATCTAAATTCACATATTTCAGGCAGAAATATTCAACTAACAAATATCCAATCTGTAATATTGTGTATATGATTAATCTGATGCTATGTTTCTTGTAATATTCGTACAAGTAATATTTTGTTTCAAGCAATTCTGCGTGGGCTGTTATTGCATTGATAAAGAAGCATGCAATCTTTGTATTGTTTGCTACAATGAACACCGCAATGGTTTGAGATGCGTAAACCAGTTGTTTTAGCACCAGAGAGAACGCAAACATCAAAAATACGCCTACTAATGCAAATACACTTGTGCCGTGCGTACGCATGTCATAGATGACAAATGCAGACATAACTGCATTAGAAGCCATCACAAACCCCATGTTCATTTCCAGTCTCTTCATTTTACCTGACAGAATCTCTGTTAGCATAAACAGCAGTACTATTGTAAATGCTTCACAAAACTTACAGAAAATGACTGTTGTTTCCCTCTTTTGTGATTCCGTTGCCAATAGAAACTCCAGGATGCCTATTACGATCCCGGATATAAATTGCAGTATATTTATGACGTATCCAGTAAAGAAGAAGATTGCAGAAGCCAGAAGCAATGCTATTGCTGGTGCACACAAGTTATCAACGTAACTTGTGATGTGGTTGATGTATTCCTCCTCCTTAAATATTAGACACTTTGCAATATCAATCAAGAAATATGCTGCTATGCCTACAATCTCGATGTAGAAGAAGGTCTTTGGGTCTTTCAATACTTCCAACATGGGTTGAAAAGTTTGTTTGTCTCTGAAATGCTCTAATTAGCTACTTAGTAAGTAATGGATTTGAAAAGACTGTTACTGCTCAGGTCTTACTTGTGTGTTGGATAAAGTGCTCTGTTAAAAGAAATCGGTCACAATCCATTCATCTTGTTTCAGTTTAGTTATTCAAAGTCCACAGTATCCATAGTGGTATAGTAACAGATAGAGCAAAATAAACACTGAGAGTTGCATGATGCTTCCCCTGTTCTTAATTCACTTCAAACTGTCCATTTTTCTTTTTTCACTCATTTTTGCTCGTGGCACTCATTTTTGTCCATAACACGCTTGAAACAAGCATTTCCCTCCCTTTTTGTAAATAAAAATAAAAATAATTTGACCCCCAACATGGCACGAACTAAACAATCTGCAAGAAAGACGCCGGGATTGACTGGTGGTAAGGCACCAAAGAAGCAGCTTGCAACCAAGGCAGCAAGGAAGACAGCTGGTGCACCAGGTGGATCTGCTGCAACAAAGACACATAAGCGTCATGGTAAAGTCGCACTGAGAGAGATCAGAAGGTACCAGAAGTCCACAGATAGGCTCATTAGAAAGCTTCCATTCCAGAGGCTGTGTAGAAGCATCTGTAGGGATCAGGCCAGTGCAGCAGACATCAGGTTCCAAGGTCCAGCTCTTCTGGCTCTACAGGAGGCAACAGAGATGCACATTGTGGGAATGTTTGAGGATGCACTGCTTTGCGCACAGCATGCTAAGAGAGTTACTGTCTTTGGTAAGGACTTCCTTCTTGTTCACAGAATCAGATCCAGATTCATGAAGACTGGTATTCCAACAGAATAAAGTGTTTTAAATGCTCAATGTCTTTCACCCAAGATGGGTAGTAAATTTTTTATATTGCCATTTTCTGTAAAAGAAGGAACTACTGAGCATGGAATCAGTGAACTACTCAAAGAAAAGAACAAAATCATCCTAAGAGGTGAGGCGTTCATAGTAGATCCCGTCCAAAATGACTTTTATAAAAATGGAAAAAGGATTCAGGGGGAATTCTATCAACTACGTTCGCCCATGCTTCAGAAGACGATGTTTGATACTGGTGTTGAGCTGACTACTAAGATCAACGCCTTTAACTTAAAATAGTGGTTGTTCTACACTTCATTTACTGTTTGGATCTCCGTCGACTCCTGAAATAAAGTCTAGTATCTCTTCTATCTCCTTAAACGCATGTGTAAATACAGCATTCTGTGCGTCTTCATCAACCTCCTGTTCTGTTAGTGTCACGTATTTCATTGTTGTGGTAAAAAACAATATTTATATAAGAGAAACAGCCCACATAAACAAAATGATATTTCAACTTGAAATTATCTTACTCTTAAATGGAATACATGCAGATACTGAACACGATAAAACAGAAGAGAAGAGTGACGTACTAGCAATGGCATTCGCAGACAAAGAACGTGAAGTAGAGAAGCTCAACCAAATGACGTATGACAAACTCAATGAAATATCAAAAACGAATTACTATTCCAAGGTTAAAATGATGTTTTATGAGAAGTGTCCAAAAATAACAGAAGGATGTAAAGCAACTGCTTGTGAAGTTCCAACAATCAAATACGGAGATGAGGATGGCGTAGTTGATCTACTAAGTGTTGTAGAATCATATTCACCAAGCATAAAGCACTCCAATTTGGTCTGGGCTGACATCTACAAGGCAATGGAGAATGAGGCAATGATCAAAGTTGTCAGTGGTCTTCATTTCTCTGTAACAACACACATCGCAGCATTTCATACGCCATTCTTTGGATTCTTCTTGAGCAATCCCAAAAAGTTCAAAAATAGGTATGCAAAGGAATTCAAGGAAAACTTTCTAAATCTGTGGCTATTTGTCAGAGCAGCTGTTGCAAATCTCAAGAACATAAACACAGAAGCAAATGAAGATGCATTGACACTCTCCAGAATGATTGATGTACCAGAAATGCCAAAAATTGACATATCAGCCAATAAGCAAATTACAAGGGCGATTGAATGCATTGCATGTCTAAATTGCCAGAAATGCATTTTGTGGGGCACAATTCAAACACGAGGACTGAAAGCAGCCGTAAAGGCAGTAAACAGCAAGAAATTGTACAAAAGTGACGTCATATTCCTCATCAACGTATTCAGGAGACTGAGTGAAACAATGAGACAGTCCAGAAAGATGTATGACGTAAGATATCCGTCGATGTATCTGATACTCGTTTATTACAAGCAGATGCTACCTCTGATTGCAGTATTGCTTTTCATAGCCTATAGGCTGGCAGTCTACAAGAAAAACAAGAAGGTTAAATACGAATGATCACTAGAATTTCCAGTTATGTCCGCATTCTGTGCATCTTACAAACGTAGTCATTGGTTCGTCACACGATCTAGTCTGCATTTGATAATATCTGCACTTGTTCTTCTTACATTTGCTACATTTGAACATCGTGGTTTCAGCCTGGATATCTGCTTTGGTTGACGCCTTGAGACTTTCTTCCATAATTTTACGATCGCAATCTCGTTGTTCACTCGACTTCGTCTCGTCTTGTGACATCCTAATGAATGCCGTACTGCACAACTCGTCGTTGTAGATCATCCAACAGATCTCCTTGTTCTCTTTGAGACTTTTTGCTTTCATTCGCACTATTTTTGGAAACTGCTCTGGGTTGAACTTGAATATTGCTTCTGCTAATTCAAGTGCCTTTAATCTGCACTGTTCATCAACCACACTGCAATCACACTGTTTGAATGCACTGTAGAACATGTCTCTGGCCTTATTTATTCTCTTATCGTTGTGCTCGTACTGTATTTTTTGACCAGAATTCTTAAATTCTTCTGGCTTCTGTAAATAGTTTTCAGACATGTCAAAGAGGGGTTTATTTTATAGAAATTTAGTAATTTATGCTTCAATCTTCATCTTATTGAACAGAAACTTGTTCTTATTCACTTCATATATATTCTTCAGAAGAATGTTCAGCTTCTTATTGACCTCTGCCTTGATGCTGACATCAGATAGATTTGCATCTATATCCAGCTTTCCAACATCAATGTCTTCCTTATATCGGGAAGCAATTGAATGCTTGATGTTGACCTTTTTAATGAACGTTAGGAATTTTGCAGCCTTTCTTTTCTCCCATGATGCCGCATGCTCTTTCACCTCATATGGTACTCTGTTGATACCACCAACCAAAATAGAGTTCTCATCGATCACATTCAGAACAATTGCCTTCTTTCCAGCCAATCTTCCATTTGTTAGAACCACTATCATGTTCTTCTTGAATATCATTGGGGTAAATTTTGATAAGTTTTTCTTGATTTACGCAAATTGAATCAGAATATAAAAATGTGTATTCTATGCACGTATGAATACAGCTGAAAAACTCGAATCTCTCTATTGTGTTCGAAAATTCAACAAAATTGAATACAAAACGTATTCAGGCAAATTGGATGTAATAGTAAGACGAATGGAATACAACTCTACAGTACTATATTTCTATCTCAAACACAGTGAATTTACAAAATTACCACATTTTCATGTATTTGTAAGGTGTTTAAAGAAAGAAGCAGTAACGGTTTTCACAAACTATTTGGAGCAACATATAACATCTGAACAGCATTTGAAGAGAGTAATTGGAATATTCTTTGTGTTAGATTCTATGGATGTAAGCAACACACTGATACACAACTGTTTTTACTATTATTTATTGCCTGAAATCAAGAAATATGCAAAATTCAACTATTCTATCAAGGTTTTTACTGCCTTGATATCGAAAAAGATAATCAAATGTGAAAATATACTGAAATATTACTTGAAAGATGCTATAACTAATCAATATCAAGCAGATTCCATCAAAATTATTACATATTTATCAACAAAATACAAAGTATTGATAAAAGATACAGTAATAATTTTCATAAATACGCCAATACATGTGAAATACACAGCAATGCATGACATTATACTATTTTTAGGCAGTAAACAAACACTAAATCACATATTACAATCTCCAGAGCTGTATGAGAGTGTCTATGGCTTTCTGTACGATGTTTCCAGAAAATCTATATCTAAGTCCAATCAAACTGCATCTTCACTGCTGCTATACAAAATGTTCATCAAGTCACCTGATAATTTCAAGATTTGTGTTGAGAATATCAATTACAAACGATACATCAATAAATAGTTGATTTATTAGTCTTCTACAAACAATACAATAGTCTTGTGTCTCTTATGGTGTCTCTGTGCCATGTTATGGTTTGTTTTCTCAATCTCATTCGATGTTTGATACGCTCCATCCAACTCATACAGATCCATCCGCTTTAACACTTTTCTATTTGTTTCTGTTTTATTCATCCGCTTTTTAAACCGTTTTATTTTTCTGATCAATATCTGTACTATTGCATTTATTGCATTGCCAAAGAACCTGAATATTCTAAACACAAACCGTTCATTTGAAAATGCCTGATTTGTGATCTCTGTTTTGCCTCCTCGTGTACGCCAATGTATCCAGATCAATATGATCAGAATGATGGTATAGAATGGATACATTTTGAGTTGCATGTGCTGTTTGTCCTACAAAATATTTATGATACCTGACACACGTGTAAAATCAATAAATTGGCAAAGTTGATCATTCTGTGGCATCGATAATGATGTCTTCATCCATTGTACAGTAGATGAATGCGTTGGCGATGTTATGAAGAAAGTGGTCCCAGCCTGCATTTCTACAGAAAATGATTTCATCAAAGAATCTGTAGTGAACCAGTTTGAATTTGTAGACGTCTTCAAACTTCTTAACGTGAATCAGCTTTCCAGGATGATACAGCTTGGGATATCGGTTCTTCTGTTTGATATGGCTACGTATTTCATCAATTTTGGTAGTGAGGACGCCTGGAATATTGATGAGTTTGAGAAGCGAACTGATTGAAATACAAAAGTATTTCAGGTCGAGAATGGCACCATATGAGAGATGTGTGATGATATCAGTGTCATATGCGTATACAGTGATGTTCAGATTAGGGCGTTTTGCTATGTTTTCTGAAACACAGGGCGGGCATGCAAAAACGACTGTTTTCAGGAAGAGCCCGTTGTATTTTTCAAGGATTCGCAGGTGAAGCAAAACGCCAACAGCTGCACCCAGGGAGTATCCCGTAATTTGAATTTTGCGAATGTTCTTTTTCTGGGCTATTTTGACTATTTGAGTGAATTTCTCATTCATGAAGTAATCAACAAGCTTCTTGAAGCCACTGTGCGTGTATCCATCCTGAAATTCGGTATAGGTTGATTGCATATCATTCAAAGTATCGTTGCCACTGGCTGTGCCTCTGAAGCTGATTCCAATAGTATCGGGCTTCTCTCTAGAATTGATGCGTTTGAAATAAATTATGTAGCCACAGATGTCGTCATTTCCTTCGCTGAATTCAATGACGTCACCATCATTGACGTTGATACGTTCCAATATTGCTCTGAACTTTCTATTCACGATGTCAGAACGTGTACGGATATTCGCGAGGTATTTGACAGAGAAGCCATCTGCAAAGGCAGCGGCTGCTTCCTGTAGTATGTAGTAGGCATTTTTGGCATCACCAGGTGAAATAGTGGTGTATCCTTTCTCACAGAACTCACTCTTACAATTTGTACCGTCACAATCAAGCATATTGCATGCCCCATACAAGAAACTATAGTAATAATCAGCAGGTAGGCATCCAATAACAGCCCAGAAATTGCACAGGAAGCTCCCTTTTCTCACATCAGTCAGCAAATCAAATATTTTGAAGAATACTTCTGTTTTATGTGGAGCCATACACAAATTGAAGACATTCTGGACGAATGTCTCTGGTTGTTTCTCATCAAGTAAATCTGGCCTATCTTCTACTGTGTACCTGACATTAAGTGTTCCAATCTTGTTCCATTCTGCATTGTAGTAATTTGCCTTTTCTATTTCTATATGGTCTAAAATGTCATGGACATGTGTACGTGGCCTGCTGTCACTATAGAACTCCTTGAAGTATATTTTGCTTGCTCCAACAGCAATCTTCTTGTTATTCACGTGCTTGTAGAATCCTATTTTCACACAACTAAATAAGATGTCATGCAAGTTGGTTAGTTTAACCTCGACATCTTTGTAGAACTCGGTCACCGCACCTTTATAGCAGAATTCGCAATCTAATTCTTCCTCTTTCTCTCCTTCTATTGTTATTCTTGTTAATGTAATCCTGACAATCTTCTTGTGGATTCCATCCATATAAGGTTAAAACAAACAAATAATATTTTGTTTGTAATTACCCCAAATGATTAACGAAAAACTCGCACTAATATTGGAGCGTCTAGGAGACAAAAAGCCAGAGATACAGACGAATGCGCTAGATATGCTGTTCGAAGAAGTCAGGACAACAGCAGGAACAGTCACGACAGAGCAACAAGATTTGTTTGACGTTGTTTCTGAACTCAAGACCTTGCATAAAAAATTTACAGACAGAAACAAAGCAATTCTAAGTGATATTCTCTCAGTCTTGAGCGTAGGACAAGGCGAAGATGCAATTAGGGATGTGTTAATTTATAGGCTTTCAGGAAACACAACAAAGTTGGATGATTGGGGACACCAATATGTCAAGCAGCTTGTTTCAGCCTGTGCAATGGTCAGACACAGGGAAATCGAAGCAATCAACTATTCGCCACTCGTAGAACCAATTGTTGAATTCTTATTCAGACACAACAGTGAAATTGAGGCCATTGATTTCATACTAGAAATCAGCAATGTACAATCACGTGATACGTTCTGGGAAGGAGAGAATTGTGAAAAAGGCACAGACGTAAACAGAATCGAACTAATTTTCCAAATGACAGATTCTGGCAACTTCAACCGAGTCTACGCCTACATTCTTGAAATGAACAGGTTCTATGATTTGCGTGAGTTGATTTTGGAACTGGTTAAAAACAAGCCAACATTGAAACTGATTCGCCTGATTGAATTTGGAATGCATGATGAGGCTGTCGAATACGTAAAAAGCATCCAAATTCCCACACTCAGAAAACAGGCACTGTACATCCTGGCCAGATTCAATGTCTATTTTGAGACCAATAAAGAAGATGAGGAAATGATTCTCACAAATCAGCACATTTCTGAGAATTATCTGAAAACAGCTGAAGACCTGGAAATCATGCAAGCCAAGAAGATTGATTACATTCTAAAGGGGTTGAATACGGAGAAGGTGGACGTAGCAGCAGTTTGTAGCGGTCTCATCCACTTTGGATACATGCGAGATCCGCTATTCAAAAGATTCCCAGATGACTACAACATCAAAACAGAGTACATTTCAATGTTGAATCAGTGTATGAACAAGGCTCTTACGATAAATGCAAGCATAGGATGCGTGCATGGATTCAATCACAAAAAGCTGATTGAGACGTATCCAAAGAACATCTTCAACCTGAATGATCTTGGTACAATTTTGGGAATAGCAGTTGCTGGATCAAGATCACACGACAGAGATGGTGGAATTCTGAGTTTGTTGAGCAGTTTCCTGGGATCAGAGGAGCCTAAGGAAGTTCTGACTGCCCTGGTGGGAATCAGCATTGTGTACAGTGGTGCAATTGGACAAAACAACGATCAAATTTATGAGCACATTTTCCCACTGATAAACCACAATAACGCAGACATAATTTGTATGGCAATATACACAATTTGCTCTGCATTTTATGGTACAGGAAGACAAGACCTGATTGCAATCTGCTGCGAGGCATTCTCTGAGACTGAGTTGGAACAGTCTGAATTCTATTCATTTGCAATTCTGGGAATAGCACTGCTGTTTTACAAACGAACTGATCTCTACAATTCTGAGGAATTTGGGGCATTGGCGAAACCAGTGAAAATTCTGGCAGAGGGGCTCATTTTCATTGGAGCGGGGCTACCTGAAAAAATTGAGGAGATTTTGACAGCGTGTTTCACAGCAACCACTGATCCACTGAATGAGTCACTGGGGCTGATTGCATCTGCTCTGGTTGGAGTAGGAGATCCACTGGCAGCACAGATGATTGAGAATCAGATGAAGAGTGTCTTGCTACTCAACAACTCACACATCAAGAGCATAGTGCCACTCTGCCTATCACTGATCTATTCATCAACAAACAGGAGTTCTACAGTTGAGTATCTTGAGAGAGCCATTGGATCCAGGGAAGCAAATGTGACATCAGTGGTGGCATTGGGACTTGTAGGAGCAGGCACAAATAACGCCAAAATCATGAAAATCATGTCATCCAATTTCAACTCACTTTACAAAGACAACAAAACATCAAATGCATTGATTTATGCACAAGGTTTGGTCAATTTGGGAAAAGGCCTTTTGACAGTGTCACCAATGGCATGCAATGAACGAGTTATCATTGACAAGAGCATGATTGGACTGCTGTTTACAGTCTTCATGTTGTTCAATGAGAACTACAGCTGTTTTGCAGAAAACACTTTTTTGCTGTATGGAATCACCCAGGCAATCAGTCCAAAATACGTTACAGGAATCACAGGTGAAATCAAAGTTGGAAAACCAGTTGAAACTGTGGGACTATCTGGAAATCCAAGTCGAATTTCAGGCAAAATAGTCCATCAGGCCCCAGTGGTGCTGAATTGTGGTGAAATGGCTGAGACAGATATTCCAGTTGAAACTGAATACATTGAAGACATTTTAGTCAAGAAAGAGTGAAGGTGTTTGATTAAATTTGCCCATGACAAAAAACACTGAATTGCTGAAGAAGGAGATGGAAGCCAATTATGATGAATGGCATACACTGCTCATGAACAAAGAGTACAAACAACTGATTGAGACTGCAAAAGCCATGTGTAGCAAATATGGTTTTGATAACACTATTTTCAGTGAATATGACAGGTTCAAATACATACGATTGTACAACAATGATGTTGCAGAGACATGTGGTCTAAATTACATCAATGCCAGTTTCGTTGAACGATTCATAGCATGTCAGGAGCCGTATCACCAATATAGAGATCATTTTCACACTTTTTTGAACAATGCTGGAATTGAACTGATTGTGTCTCTGATTCACGATCCATGCTATTTTGATAATAGGGATCTTGTGAAGATCATCGAGGAAAATGAGGTGTTTGAAATGGCTGAATTCAGATTAAAGAATAGAACGATACATCGGTTAAGAGTCAAGATATGGAAGGATCACCACGCATTGACACCATCTGAATTAGAAAGAATATACAGATATTTGGTACATAATTGTGGTGCATTTCTTAAGGCGAAGAAGACAGTGATTCATTGTCTTGCTGGGGTTGGTAGAACTGGAACATTCATCACGTACGTGACATTGATGGAAATGAAGAGAAAGGTTTCATCTAGGGAATTCTTAGATCTGTTTATGAGAGTAAGGAGACAGAGACAGTATGCAATTGATAATGAGAGACAAATGGAGATGCTAGTGGAGCTATTTGTGACTGAATGAATTTATTGGAGATTGTTATTTTTCAGGACAGAATGGACAGAAGTTTGTACCAACATGGATTCTATGGTCGCAAATGTCACAGAATGGGCTAGTACATTTTGAACAGGCTAATTCTGCCTTGTTGTTACAGACTCTACATAAAGCAGACTCAATTTTGACAAATGGCTCAGTTGGGAAGTTTGCGACCATAGAGGTGCAAATATCCAGTGGTGATACCAAACGTAGGCTACATATGGGACACTGAACTGGTATTCTACAAACAGGTGAATTGCATCTGGGACAGATACAAACAAAATCCATTAACTCTAAATGACATATGCATAAATGCTTATGCATCAATACATCAGGGAATCCAATTTCAACTAATGAATATCGTGAATCCAGTGCTTCTGATGGCGTCACAAATGTTTTTAGAATCTCCTTGAATTGTCTCGTGTTGCATGGGACTATGAATCTGCCACCAGTCATATCGCTGACTCTTCTGAAGAATGTGACATCTCCACAGAGGGAAATGATGCTAATTTTGATTCTTTGCTTGGTTAATTCTTCAAGGCTACTTGCTATTTCAGTGGCATCATCCACTGTTCCTAGGGATGCTGTGATTATCAATGCTTCTTTAGCCATATTATTGTGATTTGGTTCCTTTAAAATTGTATTGATGCATTTTATGAGTGAGAATGACCCTTTTCCGTATGAATCAAGCATTGTGGTGCTATAGTTGCGCTCTTGTTTCACCAGTTTGTTATTAAATGTGATATACTGGATAGTCGAAATGGGATTTGATCTAATGAAGCAGGTATTGAATTCAACCAGATCTCGTGCAACATGTGATCTAATCGTAGGCAGAAAATCGTCTTTTTCTATGGACTCAGAAACATCGACTACCACAATCAGCTCTCGCAGAATGATTCTGAGATATGGACTGTATTCTGCCTTATACGACACAAACTGCCTTCCTTCTGTCTCTGTTGTTTCGTCCCACGTTTTCTTGAATTCCTCAGTCCATGCAAATTTATTCATAGGCTAAAAATGGCCTGAAATAGAAAATGGTGGAATTGCCTCTTTCTGTAGCCTGATACACCTAATACATCATAAATTAGCTCTAACTCCCTTAATAAGGGTGCTCTCCTATATGTCACAGAAAGAGTGACTCAATCATTTGTCTGCAACATCCAAAACAATTTCTAGCACTCCAATGATTTTAAAAACGCGCATCTAGAAACCAAGTATTTTTAAAAAATGAAAATATTTTGACCCATGGTTTTAAAGAAAATCGAGACACAGGATACCGAGGATAAGAATATAGAGGTATGCCAAGGAAGCAAGTTATCTCCGCTGTGCATGAAAAGGAGATTCAGCACGACAGAGGGTGATTCAGGAGCCAAACTGATCAAGACGGGAGACAAAAAGAGACTTGATACGAACATGTGCAAAAAATGCAGCAGAAAGCTGAAGGCCTTCAACACCTATCAGTGCCGATGCGGCCACAACTTCTGCAGCAGCCACCGATTCGACGACCAGCACGACTGCGACTACGATTACAAGAGTGCTGCGCGAGAACAACTTGCTAAGAACAACCCAAAAGTCACGCCTAAGAAGCTGCTGTAAATTGTTTGTTTCACAGAATGTTTGAAACAATTTGTTTGTACACGAGTGATTATGCGAATAAAGAATAAATTTATGTGTCACTTATATATGTTTATGTATCAGTTAGATGTCTTCATCCTCGTTCTTCATGTACTCATTCGACTTGAACTTTATTCCGTCTCCTTTTGTTGTGAATGTTGGGCTGAATGCTTTCACGATCGTGTCTCCGAACACCTCCTGCCAGTTCTGCTTCAGACCGATGTTGTACGGGTTCAAGACCTTTCGATCAGTAATCTCAGCAAAGTTCTTGATTGGTCCCTCCTGGAAGACGTGGATGTACGAGTGGTCTCCCTTGATGTACGAATTCAGTGCAAAGTACTCTATTGTGGTCTCATTCCTGCTTACCAGTGATATATGGAATGCCGAAAATGTGGCCGTGATCAGCAGGTTTATCCCGTAGAAAATGATGGCCAGAATGAAGTTGATCTTTGTGGCTCGAGTCAGGTCTTTTTCAATTGCAAAGTCCACTACAATCACCACAATGAAGAAGAGGGAGCTGAGCACGTTGAAGAACAGGAACTGTAGGAAGAACTTGTAGTTGTGGAATCCGATACAAGTTTCCAGAAGGGTGCAATGGTGATCAAATTTGAGGAGGCATCGATCACATCGGGAGCAGTGGTGGCATCTGGGTGGCTTGAACGTGTTGCAGATGTTGCAAAACTGCGACTTCTCGATGCTCTTTTCAATCACATTTCGCTTGATGAATGGGTTGATGTTCGAGTAGTCTTCTTCCTTCTTTTCTTGAATCACATGGGGAAATAGCTCAAGGGTGGAACTGCCGTCTTTAATATACATTTGCATAAAGTAGACAATTTTGTTAGTCAGGAACATGTGGAATATGATGAACAGAATTATGAGCACCACTGGGTTGAATGTCATTGACTGCAGGCAGAAGAGACCGATGAAGACGAAGTATCCGTACAGCTCGAGCAGCGGGTATATTGCGAATCTGACCAGGGAGAGAAGCTCGTAAAACACTTCTTTCTTATCCAGCATTTATGGCTGCGTATTTTGTAAATAAATAACATTTGGATAAATAAACAAAGCACTTCTAGCACTATTTGGGTGATTTGTGGATGATTGGTGCCTGTTATATTTGCCTTAGAAAATTGAAATTCCAAAATATCGCCCCACAATTCTACAGTAGGCCCTGGTTGTGTAGAAGAAGTCAACTGCCACTATTTTGTTGATATTTCGCTTGAAAAATGGACTGGATGGGTGGATGTAGACTCTCTGTCCAGTTCTATTGACCTGGTACGAGCCATCATTCTGTCTGATACACAAATTGTGCTCAAAACACTTACTGAAGATCTGCTGTGCTTTCTCTAGGCCATTTTCTGATATTTTACCCTTTTTAAGCGTTCTGAATATTTTATAGGCCATTTCCATTGCTTTCTTGTTGACCTGATATTTTCTGGTGAATTCGTCTTTATCTTTGGTCTTCTTGTATTCTTCAAAGAGAAATATGAGGTAATCGAAGTCTGTCTTCTGTTCTTTCTCTTTAAACAACATGAAATTGTAGTTTTCAAGTGAAATCATGGATGTTATGATACTGCCGTAATATGCAAGTCCTTTGGTGACTGTCTCTTCGTAGAATGTGCTCAGCTGTACATCAAATGGATGCGCAACAACTCTCTTACCGTAGGATGTTATTCTGAATATTTCTGTCTTGTATTCTATACACTTTTTATCCTGTAGGAATAAAATGGCTTCTTTCAAATTATCAGGATTGGGCCAGGCAAGAAACTTAACTGTTTTCAGATTCAGGCCATAGTTGAGAAGAAGTAACACCGCTGTAGTTACGTCTGTTCTGAGTATTTCTGGCGTATGTGGAGCCATCTTTTCATCCTTGGTGTATAATTTGTAAACAATACCACTTCCCAATCTATTGCATCTTCCCATTCGTTGTAGTGCACTTTCTTTGCTAATCGGTTGAATTCCAAGGTAATTTATGCCACTATAGACCTTGTTTTTTACTACACCAGCATCAATCACATATTTGACTGATGGAATAGTAAGGGATGTTTCACAGACATTTGTAGTCAGAATGACCTTTCTTTCAGCTGTCTTATCAAATATCTTGATTTGTTCTGCTTCTTCCATTGCTGAGAACATTCTGTATGTTCGTACCAATGGAATCTTTAACATCATCTTATACAAATCAGCAATATCATCTATTCCAGATAAGAACACCAGAATATCTCTTCGTTCTTGCTCATCACCATTCTTTATGATCTTTTTGATTGTCAGAAATGCTTCTATGATATAATCAGCTGTTGGTTTATCTAAATAATTGATCGTAATTGAATGCGATTTACACCTTATTTCAACCAATTTCCCAGCAAAATACTCTGTGAGGGCACTCGTGTCCAGTGTTGCACTCATTAGAATCAGTTTGTGTTTGTATTTTTCTCTTAGGATCATTAACAACACATCTGTTCTTACTGATCTTTCGTGTACTTCGTCCACAATAATCACATCGTAATCCAAATCCATTTCGGCTAAAAAAGCTCCATCTGTGTAAATGACAGTTCGTGCCACTTTCTCGTCTGTTTTCTTCTTATTAAACCTCATTTTATAGCCAATGTTGCCTATTTCATCTTTTAGTACGTTATAGAGACCCAAGACAGCAATTCTTCTTGGTTCAATTATTGCTACATTTTTATCTTTGAATAGTAGAGGTACATACGTAGACTTACCACAACCTGTTGGCCCTCGTATTATCACTGTTTTATTTCTTTTTACGCTTCTGATGATCTGCTCTTTATATTTTTCTATTTCTAATTTCCACTTGAACATTTTGGCCCCCAAAAGTTTATCATTCAGAAATTGGCCAGCTCTGTTTTGTGCTTCAGAAGTTCCTTCCTGTACTCTTTGTCTTGTAGTTGTTTATCTGATTCAAGACTGATTCCATTGTATTCTACTCCAAAATACTCAAGGAATAGCTTTGAATAATCTACTGATTTTGTTGTGATTTGATCAACTGTTCTGAAATGTAGCTTATATTCAGAATCAATATATAAATCATCAAATCCACTTAACCACAATCCTCTCTTCTTCAAGTGTTCAATGTATCTCACTATTTCTGTTATATAGAGCCACTTGAATCTTTTTAACTTGAATCCTTCCATTTTCAAAACCTGAGTGAATTCAGCCAACAATTCGACATGTAGTAGCAAATACAAACTACCCTGATACTCAAAAACATTCTGTAGGTTTCTGAACATCCCTTCGTCTATTTTATCCTCTTTCTTCTTTATCAAATACACTGTCTGTGCTTCATCATTTTTAGAAAGTTTGACTGTTTTATATACCCCTTCTTTCAATACCTGATTAATCAGCAGATTGAAACCAGTAAACACAACCATTTCACCAACTTCTGTATTGAACTCACACACCTCCATTTTCTTAATGGATGGTTTTGGAATCGTTGTTGTTTTGGGCTGAACCTTCACAATCTTCTTCTCTGCAACATAGAATATTCGTCCCATACACTTGATTGTTGTCCTCTTAAAGTAGCTAAGTAATTCAGTTTCACTCTTTGACTCCTCATACGGTGGTATTTTTGCCAATTGCTCCTCTAACACGTCTCTCTTGTACACTTCATTCTTTAAGGCATATTTCAGAATGAATCCAGCCAATTCAATCCTGTTCATTTTCAGGAATATTCTACTGAATTCCACATAGATCCAATGATAATTAGTAGAAATAGCTTCGTTGAAGAGAAGTAGCAGAATATTTGCATCGTTGAGCTTTTCATAGTAAATACGCCACCTGTCTATGTAACTTGGATTGTTCTTGAAATAAGGAATGTGCATGTATTCGATCAATTCAATAGCATACTCCTCCAGTGTGACGTATTTGGTGTTTAAACTGTTTTCTGGTTCATTTTTCTGTTTGATTTCAGTCATTGGGTCAAAAATGACCAATTTTTAAGCCCGGAATGGCAACTACAAAAGACTTCGACAACAAGCAGATCGTATTTTACTGTGACGGATGCTTCAGAAAGATCACAAACAATGAATTCATCACATGTGACACCTGTGATTTCGACATGTGTCTACATTGCTTCAAAAATCGTATTGAAACTGAATCACATAACACCAAGCACAAATATCGCACTGTAAGCCACCTGGATAAGGAAATGGAGAGTGGATGGACGATCATTGAGAATCTGCTCTTTGTGAGTGGCCTCATTTCATTTGGAATTGGAAACTGGTACGATATTTCATTCATGCTCCCATCAAAGACAGAGACAGAAATCAAAGAGCATTTTTACAACATGACTGGAATAAGAAACAGAACCACTGGTGAAACAACACAGAGTCAGATTGGGATAAAAAGTGAACCAAATGACGTCAATTTGGTCAATTATATGCCACTCAGAAGGGACTTTGAGGTAGAACAGTATAACGAATTTGAATCTTTGCTCCAGCACACACAATATGAAGATAATGAGACAGAAATGATCAAACAGCTAAAGAATCACATCTATTACTACACACCTGTTGTAATAAAGCAGCGTAGTATTTGGAATGAATTCGTGATAAGCAGAGACCTGGTGAAAGTAGACGAATTGAATGCCAAGGACCAGACACCATTTGGATTCTTTGTAAGTAAGTACAAATGGCTAGCTCAGATACTAAGCAAGCACGATTTCAACGTAGTTGTTAGCAACTTCTTCAAAGAAACGCGGATGAAGGAGCAGTTGAAGCATTTGAGTGAGAGTGAGATCAACAAAATGGAGAGACTTCTTAATTTCGATAATGTGCTAGGAAAAGAAGAAAAGGCACTGTGCATAAAGTTGAGATTGGGCATAAGTGAATATATCAAGCTCAAAAGACTGGCCTTGGAGATGTTTGCAGCAAAAAAGATGCTAAAAGGATGCTTTCACAGCATATTTAAAGAGAAAGACAGAGATAGGGCCGACATTCTCTACAAATGGTTTGTCATCAATGGTGTTGTAATAGAATGAGTAAATTTTTATTCTAAAATGAAAGCAAATGAATTAAAGGCACTTGAGCTGATCAAAAACCAACATAGAAGTATCATATTCACCACAAAAACATCCTGTTATCTTGAAATGGAACAGCTACTCCAAATCAAACAGTATCCCAATGCATTCTTCTGCTTCACTACAGAATTCTTCAGCAGCTTCTCTGAATATTTTGATGATTTCGACTGCTTTGTGGTTCTTCACCTGAAATTGAATGAGTTTGAGAAGGCGTTGATCAGAAGAATCCAACAAGTTCACAGAAACAAGAAAATAGTCACATTCAGCCTATAAAATAATCTTTACCTGATTTCTACCAATTACCCACTTCTGCCTTCTTTTTGCCGAAATCCTCCTGATCCACAATATTGGTCTTAATGTTCTTGATCAGATCATTCTCAGTTCCCTCATTCTGCTCCTCTTGCAGTCTCTCCAATTCTGCCGCATCCCTGTAGAAGAACAGCTCCACTTCCTTCAAGTCCTCTTCCATTTTTGCACCGTATTTTATGTATTTCACGAGTCGCGACAAAATGAAGAAGCAGGCGCCAATGGCACGTGGAGATCGGTTGTTGAGTGGAATGGCGATGTCTACGTTCTTCAAATCACAATCCGTGTTGCAGAATGCAATTGTAGGGCAGTTGACTCGTGCTGCCTCTCCTACAGCCTGTTTGTCGACTATTGGATCTGAAACCACAATAAGTCGTGGCTCACAGCTGTTCTTGATTGTCGTATTCGTAAATGAACCAGGCATGAATCTGCCTGTATACGCTTTGCATCCAACTGCTTCCGTAAACTTCATTACTGGCTTCTTGCCAAATGTCTTACACGAGATCACAGTGATGTCATCTGCGTGTGTGAGACCACAAATGGCTCGAGCAGCAAGCACAAACTTCTCCCAGGTCTTCTTCAGATCAAATACTGGAATCTTGTCCTTTCTCAGGCCGTAAATGTATTTTTTCATTGGTTTGGTGACTTTGACACCGCCGAGATGCGCCTGTGTCACAACCAGCAGCTTCACGAACTCGTTTGGCATTCGAATTGATTCCTGAACCATGGGGTAAAATTTGTACAGATTTTTGAAGAATTTATAGGAAATCATTGATTAGGAACGCGTGGATTAGCACGAAGTAGAGCCAGTAGATGACTGTGTTCATCAGAACAAAGATGGAGAAGCACAGAATCAGCACAGCAACCACAATCTGATCTATTTCGAGGTAGATTGAATCGTATCTGCATTTTATGCTATTGTATGTTTTGTTACGCAACAGATCACAGGCGTCAGTGAAGCATCTTAGAACAAACCTAAAGAGCAAATCGACAATCCAGAACGAGGCGATCACACCATCATAACTTCTGTTTCTACAGGTGAGTTCGTAAAATATTTCAAATAGAAAATTACTCACCTGTTTGTTGATTTTGTAGCCAAATAGCTCTTCTTTAATCCCAGGGAGAACATGTGCATTGATTTCTAAGACAATGAGCGTCTTAATTGTTTTTGATATTTCATTCTTATTTATGCGCATATCCTAACAAATATTTATGCTTTATTCAAAACCACTCTTGTTTTTGATTAGGTCATTCATCGCCACAATGCAATTGACCAGCTCACCGCTGTACATTTCGACCAGATCTGTTTCGTCTTCGAGTTTCGGCATCTCGTTGCATATTTCCTGTAGACGCAATTGTACAGTTTCACTCATCTCATGTTTCTCAATGTATTCTATTATGTTCGTCAAACACGTGTCGTACATCTGCAACGAGTTGCGAATCATGTCGTGTTTGTCCTTCATGGTGCTTCCAGTACCTTCTTTGATGTCTCGTAACAGGTGTTCAACACCAACCTCCTCATTTTCATCAGCGCCTATTTTCACAGTCAGATTCACAAGCTGCTTGTTTTCGTCCAACTGATAGGCCTGGGCAGGAATATCATCCGTCTTGAGATGCACATTCACTACTGCTAGCAGTGGATTCGTGCAATATATCTCCATTGTCTTCGTGATTTCTAGGTCATTTTTATGCATTTTTGGGCCTGAATGATACCAGCCCACAATCTTCTCTTTGTTGTTTACTTTGTAGAACAGATTGAACATATTCTCGAGATATGACGTATCTAGAAAGAATCCGTTCTTACTCTCCTCAAATGGTACTGCAAAGCTATTTTGTATTACCACTCTCTCATTTGTCGTGTTTCCAAGCAGGACGCCTATCACTCGCTGATAACTCTGTCTCTTATAGTGGTCTACGACAGAAAGTAACACTAATGGTGCAATCTCAACCATCCTGTGGTCTTGTGCCTTTTGGAATATTTTTGAAAACATTGGGGTTACAAACAAAAGTATCAAAAATTATGTCTCTGCACATCAATCATTTCTTAACTATTTTTGGATCTATTTGTCTTGGTTTTCTGTATGGCCAGAATGCACGTGCCCAGGCCAATGAAAGAAAGACCAATAAAATGCCTGAGATGGAGTGGATGCTCGTATACAATGCTAGTCAAGATGATTGAGATGATCTTTCGTGTCAGGGTGATGTAGTTTGTAAGGATTGTTCCATTCCTCTTGACACACGAATATATGATTCTCTGGCCAACTGCACCTAACAAGACCACACCAGCAATGTGTAGAACCACAATTGGATCCTTCTTCACAAAGTTGACTATTGGTGACGTATTTCTGAGTGTCTGTATTAAACTCAATGACACCTTAAATATGTTCGTATACAGAATCATCACTGCTGATGAAATGGAATATCGCCTATAGACGAAATCCTGCATTGAATTCACGAATCCCTGAATGCATAAAATCATACAAATTACCACAATTCCAAGAATCGTATTTGATTCGATCTTACCTGTCTTTGTGAGTAGTGAAAAGTCCACTGCGAATATGAATGATCCTATTGTGGTTGCAACACAACTGTAGAGTGTCTGATCACTCACCTTCTCTCCAAAAACAATTATTTTTGCAGCCACAATTGGAATAAGTTTGAGTGTGCTTGAAATCTGCATTGTTCTGTACGTGAGCAACTGTGTTCCTAGAAATGAAAGCTGTTCTTGAATAAATATCAACACAGCCATCAGAAACAGGTGCATGAAGAGACTGGTTGAGATTATGAAGTCGAATGTGTTTATGGTGCATAAGACCAGGAACCCCTTCAAAAACACAATCAGGTACGGAAATGAGAATTTTGTGCCTGAATTGTACTCGTAGGATGAGACTCTCTCCACCAGAAGACTCTGTATCGTAAATATGATGTTGATTACCACAGTGAAGAAGAATAGGCCGTATTCACCCTTTTGTTTTTTCATATTGGGGCATTTCTTGTTTGCATTCTCAGTTTTGTTGCGTTTACTGTTAATAGAAGACACAGGTTTCATTCTCAAGGTTCTCAAAGTGTCATCTCTTTTATAGTCAGTGATTTACACTTTTAGTGATCTTATGAATAGTCGCTTACTTCTACCCAACACATCTAATCATCGAAAATATCATTGAAATAGCACTGACACTCTTTCACTTTCTCATGTTCAGCTGTTTCGTATTGCAACACATCGAACTCCTCTTCCAAATATTTCCAAATAGCACTACTTGTCAGAATGTTGGGTTGTTTGAGACCACGCAACAATGAAATCATTTTGAAGTGCTTGAATGGTCCAAACAGCTTTTGTTTCTCAATGGCTTTTAAAATTCTGATTTGTATTGCACAATCATTCAGATTTATCTTTTTTTCTGTACCCATTTTAGGGCAAATAATCAATAAAGAAATAATCCGGTAAACTGATCAGTTAAATATATGCTACTATCAACTGAAATTGCACAATTATACACGAGAAATATCTATTAAACACTCGATATTTATTATTGGTCATTTGCATGATAAAATATTACACTAATGGACCCATAAATGAACAAAATTCGAATTGCTATTGATGGGCCATCTGCATCTGGAAAGAGTAGTGCAGCTGAGAGATTAGCAGAACGACTAGGATACTTCAGAGTAGAAGGTGGTTCATTCTATCGTGCAATTACTCACCTGATTCTTGAAAAATACGGTGATGAATACAATTTGGAAAATGATGATGTCAAACAGTTTGTTGAAGGCACAAAAATAGAAATCAGAAACAGGGAACTCTTTTCGAATGGAAGGAGCCTGATGAAGTATCTGAGGACAAGTAGAATTGATGAAAATGTAGGGCTGGTTGCAAAGGTGAAATACATCAGAACAATTGTTCACAAAATAGAGCGAGAGCTAGTGGAGAGCTGTGACTGTGGTCTGGTGATGGATGGACGAGATATAGGAACAGTTGTGATGCCTGATGCGTTCATCAAGTTCTTTATTACTGCCTCGGCAGAAGAACGTGCTTCAAGAAGAACTATGCAAGACAAGAGTTTGAATTACAAGGATGTTTTGGAGAACCTGAAAAAAAGAGACTACGAAGACACTCATAGGGAGCACGATCCATTAATTCAGGCTGAAGATGCAATTCTGATCAACAATGAGCATCTGAATCTAGAGCAGACTGTTCAACTAATGAACAACATGTTCACGGATAAAATGACCAGTTCATATGAATTACCATAAAGAATTCATTCAGACACTTCGTTTTGATTCAAACATGGAAACAAAGTCCTTGTGAATAAGGTAGACGGCAAATCCAGTCAACCCCAACTCGAAGACGACTATGAAGCGAACCCACTTTTTGGACCTCTTCACCATTTCGTAGTGTTCGTACGTCTTGTTGATGTGCGTCTTCTGCTGCTCAATCAGCCTATCCAATATTCTGGCTAGCTCTCCAACCATGTCCTGGTCTTCCACATAGCCAAGATACCCAGACATCTCTTTGTTCACGTCTGGTGATTTGAAGTTAAACTTGCAGGATTTTTCTGTCTTATTCTGTACGTTTATGTTAACGAAGCCAGGCTGCTTGATGTTGACGTAGAAGCTACCTCGTTGAGAGTCAGTCTTGACCATCTTAATGTTGTTTGTGTCGAGTATCTCAACTGAGCACCATTCTCTAGTGTCAAATATGAATTTATAGATGCCAGGCTCAGTCACCTCATCCTGGAAGTGCAGTTTCTGTCTTGGTTTAAGCATGATGTATCTACAAAGTGTCATCATCGCATACCAAACAAACATCAGGGGGTAATATCAAAAGAATTCCAAACAAACAAATTCTACGTAAAATAAGCTTATTTTACATAAATAGATCTACTAATGCATAAAAGAATGAGCCATGTTGGAATAAGAGCAAAGACACTCAGAGCAAAGCACAACCAATCTCCTAGGAGCAAGAAGAGAACCTGGGAAATCAGAATGACCCGTACAGTCTTTCTGGTGCTTATGGTCACATTCATTGCATTCTGCATGAATGGGATGTAGTAGAAAATGAGGATACCGATTTTCAGTAGATAAAGCACTTCATAATCCAATCTGATTCGAGACAGGATGTTGAATAGAGACAGAGCAGCTGCTACGTTACCAACGGTGTCATTGTTCTGAAACTTGTATGGAATCAGTAATGCAATATCAATTGGAATGGGAGTGTTTCTATCGAAGACGTAGTTTCCTGTGTTGATTCTACAAATGTAGTTCTTGGATGATTCAATTGTAAATATCACCGAACATACACCAAATACCAAATGTATTGTATCAGATGCAATATGTGACGTCATATTCTTAAAAACAGGCAACAGGACGATTATGAGAATTGTGATGATTCCGTAAGATTTGGTCATCTTCTTCAACTCCACTCGTCTGTTACGGTAGAATATTTCCACCAATAATTCAGCTGATAATACGCAGTAGATTGTGCCAATAGACGTTCTGTGTATTTGGTTGTAGCACAACAGGAAATGCAGCACCGAGTTCAATTTGAAAATGAACGTGTTAATTGCCAGACGCAGATTCACTCTACTTTGATCAATCATCTTGCATTGCATTAAGGCTATTTGAGACAAACAAAAAGCAATAATTTGTTTGTATTGATCTCATATTGCATAAAATAGTTGATTCATTTTTGGGGATGAAAAAAGAGAGAATACGAAAGAACAAGGAAACTATGAAAATACTCAGAAGCAACGGATTCAGAGATCCAATGCAGCTGTATGTTGATAGTACCTTTCTCACTGCAGTTGACAAAATGGAGAATGGTCGCAGAGTGGTCATGCGCTACTTTGATACTTATCCCAAATTCTACGTCTCAAAATGTGAATTTGAGAAATATAGGAAAGAATGCAAAAACAACACACTTGGTGAGTTAAGTGGCCATTGCCAAATCAGAAAATGCGACTGCACTGATAATGAACCATGTTGTTTATCAGAACAAAAGATCATCAACGACACCAACAAAAAACATTACATTCTGGCTACAAATACGAGATCCTACATGCAAATGTACAGAAAGATGAATGTTCCGACGTTTACAATCATCAAAAGCATTCCAACACTGAATATTGGAAAGATGAAGCAAATGAAATTCGATAGAAATGGAAAAGAGGCCACTTCCAAGGAACTCAAGAAGCTCAGACAAACCATTGGGGAGTAACTGGGCTACTCAAATGAAATGCCCTCTTTCTTGAATTCAGCAAAAAGCATCAGGTATTCTTCCACACTCATTTTGGATGGCCTTGATTCCCGTAGGCCTATTTTGTCGAGTACTCTTTCAACCAGCAAGGCACCACTCTCTTTTCCTGTACTCTTTTTTACGTATTTGGTGATTTGCTGTGCTTTCAGATTCCCATGAAGTGTTTTGTTCTTTCTACTGAAGCAGATTTTCAGCATGTTATCGAATTCAACTGAGTTGATGAGTGGCCTTGGTGTCTTAGGCTGCATCCGTACGAAACACGTGTCCACATTTGGCATTGGATTGAAGCTCTTTCTGCTGATCTTCATGATATGATCAACACGTGTATACAGTTGTACAATCACAGAGAGTCTGCTGTACTCCTTTGATCCTGGCCTAGCAACAAGTCTCTCTGCAAACTCCTTCTGTACCAGAATGAACACACTTCTGAAATGGCATCCCATCAACTTAAGCACAATTGGCAGACTCAGGTTGAATGGGATGTTGCTGATGCATTTGTCGAAGTGTGGGACGTCTTCGTCCAAGAAGTCGCCTTCTCTCAAATCCAATTTGGTTTTCAGGTGCTTCTTCCCACAGACCCTGCTTCTGAGTTCCCTGCAAAGACGCCCATCTTTTTCATAGGCCACAACTCGCTTTGCTTTTTCCAGCAGTTTCAATGTGATGCTTCCAGTCCCAGCCCCCACGTCCAGAAGCGTATCAGTGTGCTTTATGTTCGCCTTCTCAATGACTGTGTCAATCAGACCACTGTTTATCAGCATATGCTGTCCCTCTGCTTTTCTAAGTGACATTTGTGGCTTCTTGATCATCTACTAATGGGCATAAAATAAGTGGATTTTATGCAATGGACTCTCACAAAATTCATCCCCGAAATGCGCATTTCTATAAAAGCAAAGAATGCCATCAAGAGATCCCTGATCGACTGCTGGGCCATCATTGTGGTTGCCATAATCAACAACATCTTCATCAGCGGATTCAAGGTGCTTCAATTCAGCAAATTGTTCAGAAAGGGATCCATCATGCGAATCAAAGCAGGAATCAAAAACGTATTGACCGTCATAGACGCAGACGAGTATTCAATCTGGGAAGTATTCTTTGCATACGTCACAATGTACACAATTGTGATACTTGTGACGAACACAATGCTGATATTCGTCCTGATCATTTACACAATAGACCATAGGCTCTATACGATAATCGCATTCATTTCGGCAACACTTGCCTTGTTCTGGGAGATGCTCTCACACGCCAGCATCTACCTCCAGGTCACTGTGATGTACGGATTCATCTGCTTTGCACTCTACAAAATGTACAAATCACTTGCATTCAGGAATCCAGGATCCAAAGTGGTCGCTGAGACAGCAGACAGCATGTTCCAATTTGGATTCGTCTTCTACGGCCGTCTTTTGGTCCACTTTGTGTTTCTGCTGGTGAAATCGTTCTACGTTCGCCTGATGAACTTCCAGTCTCAGTCGTTCTCCCAACGCATCCTATTCATTCTGCTTCTCGTCTACTACACGTATTCTGAAATATTCATAGTCCAGGCATTCACAGCCCAGATGATCAGTAGAAAGATGTACAACGACAGTCCCACGTTCGGAATCGACTTCGTGCCGATCTTCTTCACCTCATCAGTAGCCGCATTCTGCAAGGTCGTCTTTCTCTTCACAAATCGAATTTATTTCATGATCAAGGCCATCGTAGGAAAAGAAGCAATGAGAAAGTATCGGATATTCAGACTATTCGAAGATGACAGGTGTCACTTCCTGTACATCGTGTTCAGACGAACAAGCTACTTTGAGGGCTTCTTTGGATTCAGAAATGCCCTTTGGGGCGGTGATATCAGGCGGCATGCAAAACAGATCAATTTCAAAAGTGACGTATTTCCAGTGCTGGTTGTTCTCTTCATATTCATGAAGAATGTTCTGAGAGGATACAACATCATCAAACCGTACGATCTGGCATTCATCATTGCTGGATACAGCTGTACAATTGTTGAAATATTCAATACTTATGCAATCATGAAGATATTCGTGTACGCAAAGACAGCTCAGACAGAGAGAAGCAGCAAGAAGTTGGACTACAACGAGAAGACACGTGTCAACATGGACGAGATCAGACAGCTGAGACGAAACAAAATGAGGATGAAGGACTTCTTCGACTACGTCTTCTTCAACCAGAAACTGCTTGATTCTAAGGCAACAAACAGCTACAAGTATTTTGAGAATGAATTGAGCAATTCCAGCACGCAGAAGGACGTCTAGGCCTGGACGAAGCAGCGAATAAAAATATCGTGGCCCTTTTTGGATGTTCACAATAGATCTGGAGCAAAGAATTACAAATACGACTGTAAATTGCGTCATTGAATACATTAAGAAGTATGGAATGAATGATAGACTGTATAAGCAGATTGCGACACTATTTAGTAAGAATACGAGTCGAGTCACATACAACTTCAAGAGGAAGCTGGCTGGGATGTTTGTGGAATACGAGACCAATCCAATTCTGGTACTGGAAGTGAGGGAGCTGGTAAGAGACGATGAAGAGCTGTTTAAGAAGTACGGTGGATATTTTGCTGAATATTCTGGAGCAAGGGAGATGTTTGGAGTTGAAGAAACAGGCGCATTTGACATTGACGAATTCAGGCGAGATGCACCTGTGAAAGAGGAGAGGAAAAAGAGGCCATTTGAAAAGAAAAAGAGAAGTAGAAACAAGACGAAGACTGAGGCAAAGAAGGGCGTATTGGAGCAGCACAAGAGCAAGAAGTACGAGAAGGAGAGGCAGAAGAGGGCATTTGGTGCGACAGAAGAGCTAATAAAAAAGTACAGGTAAAGGAAGAGACACGAAAATATTTTCATCCTTATTATGGCAAAGACGATTGAGGAAACGTACCAGAAGAAGACGCCAAAGGAGCACATTCTGCTGCGACCAGATACGTACATTGGGTCAGTTGAGATGGATACACAGGCGATGTTTGTCTGGGACAGTGGTCAATCCAAGATTGTTCAGAAGCAGGTATCATTTGTGCCAGGCCTGTACAAAATATTTGACGAAATTCTCGTTAATGCAGCTGATAACAAACAAAGAGATCCAGCTATGAATTACATAAGAGTGGAAATAGATGGAGACAGTGTATCAATAAAGAACAATGGAAAGGGAATACCAATTGAGATCCATAAGAAGGAGGGTGTCCATGTTCCTGAATTGATATTTGGTCATTTGTTGACTTCAAGCAACTACGATGACAAGGAGAAGAAGGTGACTGGTGGACGCAATGGATACGGTGCAAAGCTGTGTAACATCTTCAGCAAGCAATTTGTGGTAGAAACAGCATCAATGGGACAGAAATATACGCAGCTATTTGAAAACAACATGTCCAGAATAAATCCACCAGAAATAACACCGTATGGGGGAAAAGACTACACAAAAATAACATTTGTGCCTGATTACAAGAGATTTGGGATGGTTGGGCTGGATGAAGAGATTAAGAGCATCTTTGTGAAGAGGGTGTATGATTTGTGTGCATCGGTGAAAGGAATCAAAGTCTATTTGAATGGAAATAAGATTAATATCAGTGGATTAAAGGAATATGCACGATTATATGTTCCAGATGGAACTAAGATGGTTGCAAGGGAGATCAGTGAACGATGGGAGTTGGTTTGTGCAGCAGCAGATGATCAATTCACACAGGTTTCATTTGTGAATTCGATTTGTACTACAAAAGGTGGAACACACGTGAATCACGTTGTGGATCAGTTGATGGAGCCACTGATGGCTGCAGCAAAGAAGAAGGATAAGACACTCGTTCTGAAGCCGTTGGGAATCAAGAACTCGCTGTTTCTGTTCGTAAACTGCCTTGTTGATAATCCAGCATTTGATTCACAAACTAAGGAGAATTTGACACTGAAAGTGTCCAAATTTGGATCAAAATGCACGCCAGCTGAGGAGTTTGCGAAGGAGATCATCAAGCAGACTGACGTGATAGAGAGGATTGTTGCATTCTCAAGAGCAAAACAGGCGTCTCTTCTCAAAAAGACGGATGGAACAAAAACGACCAAACTGTCTGGGATACCAAAACTGGAGGATGCGAACAATGCTGGAACAAAGAAGAGTTCCCGATGCACGTTGATTCTGACGGAAGGAGATTCCGCTAAGACACTCGCAGTTGCTGGTCTCAGCATCGTAGGCCGTGACAATTACGGGGTGTTTCCACTCAGGGGTAAATTGCTTAATGTGCGTGAAGCCACAAACAAACAAATTATGGAGAATGCAGAAATAAGCGCATTGAAGAAGATACTGGGATTGCAGCACGGAAAGACGTACAGTGACATAGACAGTCTGCGATATGGAAAGCTGATGATAATGACTGATCAGGATTTTGATGGATCACACATCAAGGGCCTCATCATCAACTTTATGGACCATCTCTTTCCGTCTCTACTGAAAATCAATGGCTTTCTACAGGAATTCATTACGCCCATTGTCAGGTGCAGTCGCAAGAAGGAGCGACACGACTTCTTCACTGTTCCAGAATACGAGGAATTCAAAAGACGAATTGATGAAAATAATGAAACAGGTTGGACCATCAAGTACTACAAGGGACTTGGTACGTCTACAACAGCAGATGCTAAGGAGTATTTCAGCAATCTCAAGCTCCATGTCAAAACATTCAACTCAGTTTGTGACACGGATAAAACGAATATCGATCTGGCATTCAACAAAAAGAAGGCGGATTTGAGAAAGAGCTGGCTCGCTGATTTCACGCCTGGAACATTCCTGGACCAGCGAGCCAGTGACATTTCTGTCTCTGACTTCGTGAACAAGGAGCTGATTCTCTTTTCAATGGCCGATAACATCAGATCAATTCCATCAGTGATTGATGGACTGAAGCCAGGACAGAGAAAGGTGCTCTTTTCGTGTTTCAAGAGGAATCTACGATCTGAGATCAAAGTGGCCCAACTTGTTGGATACGTGTCAGAGCATTCTGCGTATCATCACGGAGAGGCATCGCTTTCTGCTACGATCGTGAATCTCGCCCACGACTTCATTGGATCCAACAACATCAATTTGCTGCTTCCACTGGGTCAATTTGGATCAAGGCTTCTTGGTGGAAAGGATTCAGCTTCCCCCCGATACATTTTCACCAACCTGAATCCACTGGTCAGGAAACTGTTCATTGAACACGATACGCCTCTTTTGACTGAACAGACTGATGATAACATGAAGATTGAACCTGTTTATTACGCGCCAATCATTCCAATGGTTCTTGTAAATGGAGCTGATGGAATTGGAACAGGATGGGCCACATCAATTCCAAATTACAACCCAATTGAAATCGTCAGAAACATCAGGCGACTGTTGAGGAACGAGGAACCAGTTGAAATGGTGCCATTTTATCGCAATTTCACTGGGAAAATTGTAGGCGGAATTGATGGCCGATACGACGTGATGGGAAAAGCCTACGAAGTTGATAACGGCAAGCAGATCAACGTGACTGAGCTACCTGTTGGAATGTGGACACAGACATTCAAGGAGTATCTTGATTCGTGCATTCTTAAGAATGATATCAAGTCATTCAGAGACTATTCCACAGATAGATCAGTTAATATTCTGATTCAGCAGAATAGTGAAATCTGTTCGAAGTTGGTTACGTCAATTTCTACTACAAACATGGTCTGTTTTGATAGCAATGGTAGAATCAAGAAGTATAGAAACACATCTGAGATACTACGTGAATTCTATGACGTAAGATTGGACTTGTATCACAAGAGAAAAGAACATCGAATGGAAATCATCAAACAGGAATTGTTGAAGTTGATGAATAGAGTCAGATTCATCAGGAAGGTGGTAGATGGGACACTGATCGTGGCAAGAAGGGCGAATGCTGAGTTAGTGGCTGAATTGACTCGATTGAATTTCGCACCATTTGATAATTTCGAATACCTGCTTGGAATGAAGATCAGTTCATTAATGAAAGAGAAGATTGAGAGTCTACAGCGTGAACACGACACAAAGAAGGGAGAATACGAGGAGTTGGAGAAGAAGACGCCTAGGAAGCTGTGGGAGGATGATTTGGATGGATTTGAGGAAGAATACAAGAAGATGGCTGATAAAGAGGCAGCGGAGATCAAGATGGATAAGAAGCATGGGAAGATCAAAATAACAGGAGAGAAGGATTTGGGAGCATTGAAGAGAATGAGAAATGCGAGTCGGGAGAAGTTGAAGAAGACGAGCGATGAGACACAGGCAAAAAAGAAGAAAATGAGCAGTAGCGAGAAGCTGGTAGCAAAGAAGAAGATTGAGAAGAAGATCACGAAGATGAAGGTTGAGAGCAAGGGAGACGTCTGTGAAACTGATAGCGAGGATGCACCTTGGAAAAAGTATCAGTAGAAAAGGGTTGTCCAATAATTTTGGTGACTTTCAGTTGAATTTTGTGTTTTGGTTTTATGCCCATGCGGAATGTGATATGCGACTATCTCACGAAGAAGAAGCTGGTGGAGATCTACGAAGAGGAGAACAGGGCTGAGCAGGCTGATGACGTAGGATTCTTTTACAAGATTGTGTATACGGATCCATTACTACATTTCTACTACTGTATACTCTTCAGTAATCTGGTTGAAGTGCAACTGGAAGACTTCTTTGTGGAGTTGCTTGGAAGCAAGGCATCTGTGAAATATCTCATTCAGACACATCTGAACATCACAGTAACAGATGAAATGATTGAAATGTGCAAGAAGAAGGCATCAGAATTTGATGGTGAGAGAATGAGACGAAAATACGACATTTTTGGAGTAGAAAGCAAGGAAAACCAGTCAAACAGCAACACAGAAGAGGGAGATGCAACAACTAACATGAGGTTAGGTCCATGGTACAGATTGATGAAGTTTCTGTTGCAAATTGAAGCAAATTGTGATAAATTGTACAAGATGGATGATAAATTCATCAAATTCTTGTTCAGCAAATTGGATAATGATGAGAAGATTGAGGTATTCGCATTGAAGCCAAGTCCAATTCTGTTGGAGCTGGCTAAGAATCCTGAAAACAGAAAAGTCATCAAGGAAGACCTGATGAAATTCTACTTCTTTTATGATTTGGAACAGATGGACTTTCCAGATGCATTTGAAACTGCTAACAGAATGAATTATAGGCGAATTAGGAGAATCATCACATGTAGCGCATTCAAATCGATTCAGAACAAAATACACTTCTTTTATGTAATGTATCCAGAATTGTGCACATTTGATAGCCACATATTTAAAGATAGAATGAGGTATTTAAACAGGATTACAGCAATGCCAATGAAATCAAAAGTACTCAGGACGTATTTGAACATTGATCTGACCAAATACAGCTATTTTACAAGAATGATTACAAATTTGAAGGCTATTACATCAGAGCAAGTCCATAAAGGTAACTGTATGGTTCATTTGCAACTTCATTACATCAAAAAGGCTATTTCTGAGAAGAAATACAGTTTATTTCGAACTGTATTCAATGATCTGATAATCACAAACAAGGAGACATTCATTGCATTTGCTAGGACTGAATTCATTGATATGGATTTGAAACGAGTTGTTCAAAAGATGCCAGGCCTAGTAGAATACTTTGGAGACATTCTTGAACTGACTATTTCTCATAGAACAGATGGTCTCTTTGATCTGCTTGGCTGTGTAATTGAGACGTATCCTACACGCAGCTGCCTTGAGAAACTCAAACAGCACCAGTTTTATCTGACTAAGGAGTTTGTTATGAAATACGACTATTTGCTAAATAAGGTGTGAATAGGGTATTATGAAATATTACCAGAATATGAAAATATTTACCCATGGAAGAGAGTGAATTCTATGACACAATTATAGTAGGAAGTGGACCAGCAGCATACACTGCTGCGCTATTTCTGAAGGATAGGAAGGTGCTGATGCTGCTGGGAAGCCTATCACTTGAGATTGGCCCAGGTGGACAGTTGACGACAACTACAACTGTAGACAATTACCCTGGGTTTCCAAAGGGCACAACTGGTCCAGAAATGATGAAAACAGCCAAAAAGCAGGCCAATGACCTTGGAATTGAGCAAATAAATGAGACAGTCATTGGCATAAAAAGCAAGGACAATTTGTTTATCGTACAAACAAAGAAGTTGAGTAAATTGGCCAGAACTGTTGTAATTGCAACAGGAGCATCTGCCAAAAAGCTGGTTGTCCCTGGTTCTGATACGTATTGGAACAAGGGAATAAGCGCATGTGCAGTCTGTGATGGATTCTTTTTCAGGGACAAGGTGTGTGCTGTGATAGGAGGTGGCGATACTGCCCTGGAGGAGACACTCTACCTCTCAAAGATCTGCAAGAAGGTGCTACTGGTCCACAGAAGACGTGAATTCAGAGCACGAGCTGACAACGTAGAGAAAGCCAGAAAGATTGAAAATGTCGAATTCATCACACCCTATCACCTGGAAAAGTGTGTTGGAGACAATGAGAAGCTGAATTCGATCATTCTCGTAAACAATGAAACGGGTGAAAAAGAGACAATCGAAGTCGATGGCCTCTTCTTTGCAATTGGTCACGTTCCAAACACCTCATTTCTCAAAGGGGAATCAACTGATTTCATCAATATTCGTGAAAATGGATATGTCAAAACACATCATGGAGTCAAATGCAGTAGAAATGGAGTATTCGCATGTGGAGACGTACAGGACTTTGAATTCAGACAGGCTGTGACTGCCGCTGCTTCTGGTTGCGAGGCTGCCCTTGAAGTTGCTGAATTCCTTAGAAATGAAAATGCCTAACACTTGTTACTGTTTCAAAGACGCAACAAAAAACAATAAAATCAAAGTGCATGCTACTAGCACTATTCCACACAGCCAATGCATTCTATCTCCTGAATACTCAAACAAATGAGTTTGTTGGACTCGAAGGTGATCGATTTGTTGCAAGTGGATCCTCGCAGCCAGAGCAGTTTGAAATAGTGCGTTCTGGAAGCAATGGACGACTGATCATTGGCCAGGCGTATTCTCGAAATGTGATGGATGTTTTCCATGGGACGTATCTTGGAACATGGAGACGTCACGGTGGATACAATCAGTGGTTTGAACTCGCTTACACCCCTGAAAGCAGTTACATGCTTCTGTATCGTGGAAAGTGCCTGGCTTACGACGGCAGACAGAGAAAGATGGTTCTGAATGGATGTGATAACGTCTTTGGTGCCGAATTCAAGATCTACTACCAAATCAGGGCAGATGATCGATATTCAGGTGAATGTGAAATGCATAATTCAATGCAGAAGAATTTGAGAAGGCTGTTTCTGCCCAAAATGAGAAAATGTAAGGCCTCTTCCTGTTACGAATCTGACTCATCCAGTTACAGTGGATCATCTGACTCATCCAGTTGGAGTGAGACGAGTTCAAACACGACTACGTACAACCAATGTGTGACACCATCCAGTATAATGGGTCATATTAGATTCTGGTGATTAATTGATCAGATTTATTCAGGATCACCATCCATCACAATACACTTGCAGTTACAGAGACCAATTACGGTGAGAATGCAGATTGAGAACACATCAGCTGCGACTGTGATCACTGGAAGCGTGTAGATCTCCTCGTAGCTGAGTTTCTCTGTGATTCTGTTCAGGAACTGAATGAGCCCAGCAACCAGTGCAACGAATCCACCCAAAAAGAGGAGACTGAAGCCAACTGAGAAGAAGAGGAGAGTGGTGTAGGAGAGCCACAGGAAGACGAGTGAGAAGACCAGTGCCATGAAAATGAGGGTGGTTTCGGTTGATCTCTTTGAGACGGTGGAGTAGTCAGCCGTGATTGTCCTATGAAGAAACATGAGGGTGATTGAGATGGACATTCCCGAATAGAAGGGGAATGTGACTGGAACATGGGGAAAGGCGGTAGCGAGGCGGCCTACGATGAAGCCACAGGCGACTGAGGAGGCAGTGGATGCGATTAGTGTCCCAACTGGGACGATTGAGTCGCCTGAATCACCGGTGGCTGCAATGGTCCCAGTGAGACAGAAGAGGCAGAATGTGGTGAATCCAAGCAGAAATAGCGCATGGTAATCGGCTGAGTCGCATTTCGAAATCAGAAACCTGAGCATAAACAAAACTAACAAATCACTCACTGCGCTTAGCGTAGGCAGAATGACATTCTCAACTTCCATTTTGAAGAAGGTGGCCACCTCGAGAGTCGTCAGGAGCGAGAAGACGAAGAGAACTGACGAGGCCACGCACGAGAAGGCGGTGGTGACGAGGATGTTGAGTTGGACGAGCTCGTTTTGAGTTCCAAGCAGCATGTCGTGTACTACGCCAATTAGGCCAAGAGTGACACCAATTGCAGCTGAGTTGAATACGAGTCTGTTTGAATGCTGGAATACGCGTGCCAGGTATTCGGTCTTGCTGTACATGGTCTCTTTGTAGTGTGTGATGTGGATTGAGAAGATCATTTCTACATTTCCCTTGAATCCTAGGACACAGGTGAAAAGGAGAACCAACGGGTATTTCTTCAGGTTTTCGTCCTGGATGACATTGCTGTAGATGCTGCCTGAAGCAAACAGGCCCAGGAGACTGATCAATAGTGGTATGAACGACTGAAACACCGTCTCAGTATCCACCTTGCCACTGCTAAATATGGGAAGCATATGAAAGTGGATAATTTTGTTTTATAGGCAAAACACCAATCCATAGGCTGTTGAAGCTGTTTCAGTAGAATGGCCAACAGAATGGGACAGGTGGCTCTCTAAATGATTCAACTGTGAGAAGGCTGATCATTTGATAAAAATGGACAAAAAAAGAGGCCATGGGCAAAAGACAGTCAGAAAACGAGGAGAGTGAGGGGGGCAAGAAGAAGAGCAACTTCATTGCGAGACTGTATAGTGAGACGTGTAATGCATCTAACAAGGCAATTTGTTTTGATTTGGAAGGAGATAAGCTTGTTATACCAAACAAAATAGACTTCATAAAGAGCACATTGTGTAGAATATCATCAACAAAAGATTATAGCAGTTTTGTGAGACAGCTGAATAACTACGGTTTCACCAAGATAAAGACAGAGGAATCAGACAATAACTGCGATGTTTACTACCATCAAAACTTCCACAGAGATCATCCAAAGTTGATTTCGTACGTGAACAGAGACAAAACTAAACGAGGGGATTTGAAACAAAACATGGGGACACTGGTGAATTCGTTACAATATTTGGCAAAATGCAACTATAGGCAGCAAAAGGAGATAACAGAGCAAAGTGAGAGGATAAGGCAGCTTGAAATCAAGAACCAGACACTGTATGAGATTTTGGGGACTGCATTACGAAATGGATTCAATGCATACAAGAACAAAAATATACCAGAAGAAGTAGTAGGAAGTGAGCCACTGACATACAGGCAGAATGGACTCATATTTAAGGATGATAAGAAGCAATTGGTACATACAAGGCAGAATAGCGAGAGCAATGAGGATGAGAAGCCAAAGTCACTCTTTGATGAGTTCTATTTTTGAATCAATCTGAATAAGCTTATCTGCATAAATTGACAAATTTTTCAGGGCTCGAATGGCAAACACAATGGGAATGTCGTATGCTCTCTCAGAAATGGCTGGAGATTCCTATGAAGTGGCAGAGATGAAGCTGTTGTTTCTATTCAAGACATATTATTGTGAAGTACATCTTCGTAGTCAGATTGAGAGGTTTCTGGTCACGCAATTTAAAGAGGTCCAAGATGCTGCAATACAGAAACTCATTCTAAAACACATATTTAAACTGGATTATAACGTAATTGAGAGATGTAGCAAACATATGGATGTCCTATCGATGCTCAGAGATCCAAGAAATACCACTAGAAGAATGGCTGTTGATATTATTGAGAAATATTACACTTTTTATGAATTTGATGAATGTGTGATATTTGCAGTTAGAAAACATAAGAGAATCAGGCGTCTAATGGCCAACAATGCCCTTTATAAAAAAGCATTTAAAATCAAAGAGGAATCAACGAAACCAAAAAGACACTTCATATACGAATACAAGAATCTGAGTGATATAATTGAGAAGAATAAGACCAGTTTATTAGAATGTAGAACGTACAGAGCATTCAAAATGGATCTCAGTCAACTCATTGATCAATCCTGTGGTTTCTACCTGAATTTGATTCTGTGCTACTTCATTAAGAAAATTGAACAGAAGTTGATCACTAGCACAAACATGAGTATTCCAGGCCTAACTAATATGTTCTTCAGCCATAAAATTGAAGAAGTTGATGTTAATGCACAGTTATTCCAGTACAATCTGAAGAGTACGCCTGACTACCGTCTTCTTAAGATGATCTACAGCAGAATTGAGAAGTAAATCAGTCGTGATATTTCATATTTTGATTCTTTTAGTCCATGAAAAAATCAGTAGAAAAAATAGCACAGTTGGAATTTGATGAATCGCAGTTCAAACACGAATTCTGGGAGACTACGACGTACGAAGTACTATTTGCTAAACATAGGACGAACTACATCAAAACAGTACAGAAGTTCATAGCAAAGGCACTCAAAAACAAGAAAATTGATTTTGAAGTAGATTTGGATGAAAGCAAACTGATTGTGAAGACAAACAGCGCAACAAGAGATCCATACATCATTGTGAAGGCGTATGAGCTGATTCAGCTGATTAGCAAGGGGATGCTGCTTGAAGACTGTGTGAGTGTGCTTGAAGATGGCGTATCAAGTGAAATCATCCATACGAATGTGTTAGTACAGAATTTTGATGCTCATGAAAACAGGCGTAGAAGACTCAGCAACCCAAGAATTCTGAAAGCACTGGGACTGGTGAGCAACACGAAGGTTTCTGTAGGAACGAAGGCTGTTTGCGTAGTTGGAGATCACCGTGGAATTGACGTAGTCCAGCGAGTGGTTCTCCAATGCTTTAAGAACATTCACCCAGCTTATGAAATCAAAGAACTTTTAATAAAAAAGAACCTGATGAATGAGAATGTGGATGGAGATTGGGATAGATTTCTACCTAAGATGAAGAAAGGGAAAGAAAGCAAGAAAAAGTCAATTAGTAGCAAGAATAAATTAATTGAATAATTCAGAAATATTGTTTGAGATGTGACATTTACAGCCCATGGGTGATGAAGTGAAATTGACTGGACTAAAAATAGAAAATGGATGTGTTTACAACCAGACAGAGAAAACTGGAACGACGTGGGTTGAGACACCAACGGAACTGCTTCCGATGATCGAGGCATTGACCAGGAAACTCGACTCGTTTCAGTACGTGGGAGTGACTAGGCGTGAAAATGTGATTTTTGAGAATGAGAAGAATATTGGAACTGGAATTGTGAAAGACTATACAGACAAGGATGGAGACAAACACATTGAGTTCCAGGCCACAGGAGACAAAGTGGTAGACATTAACGAGGATAAGGGATTTGGATTAGATGGATTTGAACCAAATACAATCAAACAGCCTGTGAATGAGGTGAATTATTGGGGTACAATTGGTAACACGAACAAAAAGACAAATAAGCATAAAGATGAGGAGGGGCTACCAGATGATACACCAATTGAGTTCAAATTTAGAAAGAGAAGGAGAACTACGAGGTCTGATCCAATAATGGTACAGAGAGACAGTCTGATGCAGATGCTGCTTTCGCAGCAACAGCTGCCGCCAGAGAATCTGGTGGCGAATAAGGTGGATCAACCAAAGAAATACATTAGTTTCATGAATGGGCAGGCCAAGAGCAACAAACTTGGGATAAATGGCACACTTGTGGTTGGCGTATCAAGGTGGAATGCACGCACAATGAAAGGAGACTGCAAGGAGAGCAGATTCTACCTGAACTACGACTGAATTATTGTTTGTGAATCCATGTAATTTATTTGCAACTTATTTCCTACATCAAATAGAAGCCAGCTGTCATTTCTACGGCCCTGACCAACTTGTCGTGTAATTTGTCATATGTTGCATATTCTGGCAGTAGAATTGTGTTGAAACACGTCTGGGCACTAGGAAGACGGTCTGTGTCGCATCCATTCTTCATTATTGTGAATTTGAGTGCCTCAGCCCTGCCAATTGGAAGCCTGTCGTTTCCAGTGATGAATTTGAGTAGCTTTCTCTTCATTTCCTTGCTGAATGATCCTATAATCGTCCAGAAGTGTCTCACAACCAGTGCATCTTCTGTGTATCCCTGATAGATACAATGCTTCTTGATCTGATCATAATCAATTCTACCGCATCCAACTACAATCTTCTCCAATTCAACGTAGTTGAAACCATCAATTGAGTGGCCTATGATCACGGAATAGAAGCCATCCAACACCTCTGTGAACTCATTAGACACCATCTCATCAATGTAATACTTTGAGTAGAGGTCTCTAAAGAGCAGGAAGTTTGTCTTGCTCAGACGTGTATTCTCCGCATTCTTCACCAGATGCTTTCTAACTGTTTCTCCTTCCATTTCGCAATCTACCACAAAATTCATTCCAAGGGATTCGAACTCCTCGCTTGTCATTTTCTCCATATTGCATAAAGTATTATGTATTTCTGGTTCAATGAGACTGAGATCATCAAATCCAATTGGCGTGCTAAAGAACTTCTTGAAGATGAGTGGAGTCAGTGGCAGATTCAGAATGACGTTGTTGTACAGTGCTATGCCTATGATCTTCCCGAGCAGCTTCATCTTCGTTAGGTCTGCTCCTGGCTTCAGCCACAATGTGCTATTCTTCTCAACAAAAAGTGAGTCATCTGCAGCCAGTTCCTCTGATAGCAGCTGGAAGAACTCCTTGATGATTCCGCCTGAATCAACCCCTTCCTCGTCCTTGAAGTTGATTTTTAGCTGCTTCTTCAAATCCCAATTTGGCGTAGTCTTCAGAATTCTCAGGGTGTCCTTGTACAAATTCTTCCTGTTTATTGTAACCTTCAAATACGGTTCAGTCATTCCCTCAAAGAGAGCCCTGAAGAACGAGTCCTGTAGACTCGTTCTTTGCATGTCATTGTTCTCCAACTTCAACAATTCCGCCTTCTTTACAACTGGAATTGTGAATTTGTACAGAATCACTGTCTCCTTCTTACACTTGTAGTTCTTATACTCCTCTTTAATGTCTATTCTTGAATATAGCTCATTCAGGTAGAATGACTCGTAATCAATTGTATTGGTGATCTGATTCAGTCTGTAGATGAGTCGCAGTATTTCAAATGGAAATGCGTTCTTCTTCTCCATTCTGATGTCCTGTGGTGACATCTTGTTCAACATAGTTGTTAAAACTGCTACTGAGTCACGTATGTCATTCTTAGTCAGGTTCATATGAAACAGACACATTCCACATCCACAATCAGCTGCTTCTGTGATTTGAGTAGGAATCATCGATTGGGAAATCTTGTGGTAGATGAAGTTGTACACGTTGTAGATGATTGAGTAGTAGCTCTTACAGATCTGCTCCTTCTGTGCTGCAACAACGAATACTCGGATGATGACTAGTCCAAATAGGAAGTTTGGTGACCTATGGAACTTGTGAAGCATTAGATGAAGTATTCCAACCAGAATATACGTCTCAGCATCGACCAGTGGGCCATACAACGACCTACAATATGCGTGTTCCAGTTCTCCACTTGGTACTCCAATGCTATTCCGCCTCTGTGTCCGCTTACTGTTCAGATTAATTGTTTTAAGTGCCTTATGTTTCTTCATCGCAAAAGCACCTGGGGTAAATTTTTTGTTTGCTGGACCGTAGATGAGGCTGGTGGTGTACAGAAACATGTCAAGAAGGCCGTCATCGCCCTGTATTTGGAAATCTGTCTTCTTTTCATCTCCGATCAAATTTTCGGTGTTATCACAAACAAACAGATTTCCATAAGGTCTCAGGGCCCTGAAAACGTGCATGGCTGCCTCTGGACAGGATACACTCCTGCAGAATGCCATCACACACGTCTCCGAGGTGCACTTACTGTCGCCTTCTTGCCAACATTCATTCAGGTTCTCATAGTCCTTTTTGTTTGATCCCATCCTAAGGGGTTCCAACAATTCCATTGATTGGCTCGCGTGATTAAAAAGAGGAGGCAAAAAGATCCTATTTTATGCAATTTGATTAGTTCAAAAACGACCTGTCTTGATTTGTTTTAATTAACTGGTAATACAGATGATGTGATGTGATTAAAATACCTTGAATGAATCTGTTCTACTTTCACTCATATGAATAATATTCAATTCAACTAAATAATTCATCTTAAGAGGTACAGGAAGAGTATTTTGGTTTTTGTTTCCTGTTTAACCCCAATGGACGAAAAGTCAAAACAGCCAATTGTCTTAGACGACTCAAACATGGTGAATTTGGCCAGGCTAAACAAGAATTATTACACAGATGCAATCAACACACTGGAAAGTGAGATCATCAAGCTCCAGGATACGATAAACATGAAGTTGGGAACAAAAGAGGTGGAAACAGGTCTCTCTCCACCATATTTGTGAAATTTGAAGGCAGACAGGTACATCATCAACAAGTCACAGCCACTTCAGGTAGCAAAAGTAGTCAAAACACTCTCAGAATCACCAGAAAACAAGTACATGATTAGTATAAAACAAATGGCAAAATTCATCGTAGGAAAGAGCAGACACCTTGAGAATCCAGAAATCTACGAGGGAATGCGTGTTGGAGTTGATCGAATGAACTACGCCCTGACTCTGCCACTTCCTCGTAAAATTGATTCATCTGTCACACTGATGCAGGTTGAAGAGAAGCCAGAAGTCACCTACGATGACATTGGTGGATGCAAGGAGGAGATTGAGAAGGTGAGAGAGGTTGTTGAAGACCCGTTGCTGAATCCAGACAAATTCATTGATTTGGGAATTGATCCACCAAAGGGTATTTTGCTCTATGGGCCACCAGGAACAGGAAAAACACTTTTGGCCAGAGCAGTCGCAAACAGGACAGATGCGTGTTTTATACGCGTCATTGGCTCTGAACTGATTCAGAAATACGTCGGAGAAGGTGCCAGGATGGTTCGTGAGATATTCAAGTTGGCTAGGTCAAAGAAGGCCTGCATAATATTCTTTGATGAAGTTGATTCATTTGGATCAACTCGATTTGGAGACTCAGACAACAACGAGGTGCAGAGGACTCTGCTGGAACTGATCAACCAACTTGATGGATTTGATTCAAGGGGAAATGTGAAGGTGATCATGGCCACAAACAGACCAGACATTTTGGATCCAGCACTTCTCAGGCCTGGACGCCTTGATCGAAAAATTGAATTCAAAGTCCCTGATTTAGAAGGAAGAACGAAGATACTAAAGATCAATGCTAAGACAATGAGTGTGGATAAGAATATCAGATACAGTCTGATATCAAGGATGTGTAATGGAGCAACTGGTGCTGAGTTGAGATCAGTTTGTATTGAAGCAGGAATGTTTGCAATCAGGGAAAGAAGGAAAGTTGCAACTGAACAGGATTTCTTCAAGGCAGTGGAAAAAGTCATCAAAGAGGGAGGCAAGTTCTCAGCAACACCAAGATATCTGACCTATAACTGATTAAACAGCCATTCATCAACATATTGTAATTTTTAGCCCAATAAAATGGCTAGAAACAATCATGCCACACGTATTCTTGATAAAACACTTCTGGAAATAGAAAAGATGATAAGAAAGAGTAAACCAAAGAGAGAACAGAACAACTTCAAGAAGAAGCAGTTGCAGTTTCTGAAGGCGGATGTTTTTAAGCCAAAAGTTCCATTCAAGCGCATTCTGTTGAAATTGGATAGAAAGAAAGCAAGAAGTCAAAAGAGCAAAGAGAAAAAGAGAAATCAGCAGGCAACTTCGTAAGAGAAATTTGGTGAATCCCCATCTGAATGGTAAATGAAGAAGTGTACGATAAAATGTTCCAGGAGTTGAAGACAAGAAATGAGCAAATTAGTAGGCAGAATGATATCATAAATCATCTTACAAACAGAGTGTACGACAAGGAGTGTGAGACAGAGGAGCTCAATGCGAAAAACAAGGTGCTTCTCAAGGAAATCCAACAACTGCAAAATGAGCAGTCTCAAAATGAGTCAAAATTCAAGGCAAAGCTGAAATCAATGGAAATCAAACTGCGACGATTCCAGAACGATCTTGTCAAAAGCAGCGGTCTCAACAAAAACAAAATCATTCAACAGCAGCATGAATCCATGCAAAGAACAAACAAAATCTACGACAGTTTCATGAAACAGATTGCAACTAAGGTTGCTTTTGACAAGAATGAGCTGTGTGAGATTCTCCAATTTGCAGATGGTCCTGATGACCCATTTGTGGCCCAACTCATCTCCATCCTCTCTAATTCAAATTAGTGTTGAATAAATCATGTTTTCTGGTAGAGCTCCTGCCTCTGTTGGAACCACCTCACCCGTGTCCAGGTCCCTCATCACCACAAGCAGCTTCTCGACGTCTCCAGTTGGCTTCTCTTGCGCCATGGCGACGTATCCGCTGATATCCTCGTCGAATACTCCCTTTGTGAGTGCCTGATTGTCCTGTTTGACCACGATGGAGTCGCTGCTGTTCAGAATCTCCATGTTTGAGTGAGGGGCCGACTTCGTGATGCACCCTTTGAATGTGCCCTTGTTTGGATCAACACAGAGGAATCGGCCATCCATAGACTTGAACTGCTTCTTCCCCCAAAACAGCTTGCACTCGTCTCGTAGCTCCTCAACACGCGTAATCTCTCTGAACCCAGCCACGCTGCCACTCAGACAAAGTGTCATGTTCTCATTCCCCTTCAGTTGGATTGTATAGTAGGTTGCACAGAATGCGACTGATATGAATGTGCTTGCAAATTGCATAACCAAACAAAACGAATCAAGATAAACGAGGCAGTTTCAAATCTAAAACGTGTTCCAGCAGTGGTCAGGCCTCTTTTACTCTCAGAACTGGAACGATTCCACGTGGTGATCTGAGGCCATAGCTCGTTCTGTTGGTGCAAACTCCTTGTCGTTCACCGTCTTCGAAGCCGGTGCCTTTGACCTGCCTTCGTCCAGGACGGTGTTCGACAGGAACACGCGTCCACGTGGCGAATCGTCTTCCTTCTTCTCTTCCATCGTGTCCAGATATTTTATTCTGAACTTGGTCTCCTCCCTCTTTGATCCGCAATCAACCAAATCCAGCATCTTCTTCTCGGAATTCCCAACTTCGTATCCAACACATTTCCCAACCTTCTTGTTCAGCACTTCCACGATATCATTTGGATGGTTTATGAATGACCATTTGACTCCAACAACTGCAAACTTACACACCCTCAGCTTCGTCCCATCGCTCTGGTCAGAGCACCACTTTCTGTCTCCAGCACGAATACGCTCATCCACCAAAGTCCAGTCACTCATGTCTCCCTGTATTCGTGCATCTTTTCTGTTCATGAAATAGATCTCGTTCTTGTTAGTGACCATCTTCTCCTCTTCGTCGTGAATATTGTACAATTCAAACTTCCTTCCTGCTGGATATGCGTATCCTGTTCCAGCAAATAGAAATGTTGTGATCATGCGCATACTTCTGGTACAGAATGCCTTAAAATATTCCAAATATGAAACATGCACGAGACTAAAACATGGTTGATTCAGTCACTCCTAGTAATAATTATTAGGGTACTTGTTTATTTCCCTATGCTGCTCTTATTATTGGGGTTGAAATTGACTCATTTGGGTCATGGAGTAGTTTTGGCGCCTCTTTCTCTTTACTATCGGTCTCTGTGCTTTCCTCGTCTGGATTCTCGCTTTCTTCTTGCTCTGACTCATTCATCTCTATTTCCTCTTTACCAAAATCGTCTCTATGGACTCCAACAAATGTCTGATTTTTTCTATTGGATCCAGTATGACATTTTTCAAAGGTGAATGTGCCATTTGGACGCACTGTCAGGCAGTTGGTTTCTCCATTTTTGATGACGAATCCATCGGCTACTGAACTCAGTGGAACGATTCTAAGCATTCGGGTTGGTATTTGACAGACTGAGAATTCATCATTGTAGCTGCAAAGAAAAGATGATTCTGTTTTGAGATAATTTTGGGTGTAGCTGAGAAATACATTCAGGTTTCTTGATTGAATTTCATCCTTATCAAATAGTCCAACATCAAACCCATTAAGAGCAATGTATTTGTCACCAAATCGTAAAGCAGTGTCGTAGAATTGGAGGCAAAGAGCAGTTGGAATGAATAACATATGAGTTGTTATGTAGTTTGATTTGAAGAAATCTAAAACAAATAACAAACAAAATGGTCAATCAGGAAAATGATCAGGAAGATCAGTGATTGCCAGGTGATGAGTGGAGTCAGGTGGTTGGAGAACGCGATTGGTCTTGCGTTTCTGTACAGTTCAAGCGTAGTTTGAGCGATATTGTCCCATAAGAATTCAGAGGCGATTTCATCCAAATTTTGGTTGATTTTTCTTGATTTGATAGCATTTTCAATTTGAATTCTGATGTCACAGGCTGTGGGCTTACAGAAGAATAGACGATCTCTCCATTGCATTTCTGCTATTCCACCCACATTCGTAGTCACCACATCCATTCCACATGCAAGTGCTTCAACTACGACCATGCAGAAGCTCTCAGTCAGTGACGTATTCAGAAGAATGGAACTGTTACGCATCATTTCAGCCATTTCTGACTGATTCAGACATCCATGCATGGTGACCTGATTGTGTAGATCGTGCTGGTCTATGGCACAGAGCAAGTCATCACGCATGTGTCCATCTCCAACAATCTCAACCTGTAAATTCTTATTTTTGCATATTTCAGGTAATGCCTCAATTAGGATGTTTACGCCCTTTCTATACTCCAATCTACCCATGAAGCACACTCTCGTTCTCTCTCCTTCTTTACAGGAGTATTTCTCATTTTTGTAGAATACGTTTGTATCCACTCCATTTGGAATTACGCTTAATTTGTCAGATTTGATGCATTTGAATCTGGTTTGGATGTTCTGTTTTGTTGCCTCAGAGACGCAGATGACTCCTGAAATACCATTCAGCACAAATCCAATGACTGTATCCGCCAGAATGCGCTCTAACTTCCCCATGTCATATAATGAATGTTCTGTCAAAAATGTCCTTATTCCTAACTTTCTAGCGTGATATATCATTTCTAGTGTCATTGTACTGTGTGTTTGGTGGCCATGTACCACTTCTATGGCATTGTCAATCAATATTTGCCTATATAATTTGAATCCAATAAATAGACAGGGCCATGCCACGTTCCTACACATTATTGGAATATTCAGGTAAAACACTCTAATTCCTCTATAATGGACTATTCCTCTGCTTCCTCCTCTACCATGCGTCACCACAATGACCTGGTGTCCCATCTCTACGTATTTCAGTGCCATTGTCAAAATGTGAGTCTCAACCCCTCCCTTTTCCGGGTGGAACATGTCTGAGACCAGTGCAATTCTCATGGCCCTTCGTTTTATCAAATTTTACCCCAATGGTTCTTCTGAGAGTACAAGATCCAAACAAGGAGTACATGATAGTTCGAGTATCAGGCGGAGAGCAGCCTGGACCAACATTCTCGCAGAAGGCAGGACAGATGAAGCTGAATGGAAAGGCCATTGCTGAGGACATCAAGAAGCTGACTGTGAAGGAGTTCAAGTTGCAGAAGGTGCATGTTGAAGTAGCAGCACAAAACAGGCAAGTTGAGTTGCGAATGGCACCGACCACTGCACAGCTGATCATCAGAGAGCTGAAAGAGAAGCGACTTCCAAAGAAGAAGGGAGCTGAAAAGGTTGATCAGACCCACGAGGGATCTCTGTCTTGGAAGAGTGTTCTAACCATCGTAGATGAAATACACGAAGATCGATCTCGATCCAATTCCAAAAAGGGCACTTTGAAGCAGATTCTGGGAACAGCACTTTCTGTAGGATGCACCATAGAAGAGCACGGCCCAAAGGAGGTTCTCGTTGCTCTGAATGCGAATAAGACGGCATTGGCCACTCTTCTGGGTCTCTCTGCGTCCTCGTTGCCTGAATATCTCAATTAGTGCATAAAATATTTTCAAACTGTTTCACTTCCGCTATTTCTTAGGGGATCTGGTTCGAATATGCTCAGATTTGTAGCAATTTTATTGGAAGCAGTTGAAGCAAGGGGTGGATGTGAAGAAAGAGGCAACATGGGTCGAAAGTATGGGCCAAGAATGGCAGGAAGAAGGAAGTGCCACCGAGACAAGGACGATTCCGTCTTGGACGGGATTCTTGATAACACAAACACAGACTACTGCGTATTTGGGCCAATTTCAAAGAATCCAAATGGGACATTCAGTTTTGGAGACAAATTGTGCATAGATCCAGATCAACACATCTACAAATGCCAGGATGGAATTGATTTGGATTTCAAGAAGGTCTGGAACTGCGACAACTTCGTGATTCAGGAGCAGATTTCCGGAAAGTGTCTGGTGCGCGATGATGGAAAGTACTTCCTAGGCAGCTGTGATACGTGTTTGAATAACACATTCTTCAACCTGACTGATCAGTGTCTGAAGCCGAATATCGAGGATACGATTGGAACATTGCTCTGTGACGAGATAAACAAGTCATTCAATACGAAGCAGAAGAGGCGAAACAGGGGCACGCCTCTCTGTAAGCTGATGGACATCCAGGACGAGTTGGAGGACTCGATTGAAGACGTTCTGAAGCCAACGGGCCTGAGAAAGTTGACTGTGAAAATAGACAAAAATGGGCCAGGATACGACCGATTTGTGGGCAACGTGTTGGACCGTCTTGTGGGGCCAAATGACTGCGACCAGCATCTTTTCAGAAGCACGGTCTTCAGAAACAGCAGACGCAGAAGAAAATGCTGAGAAACAGCTCTTTTACTTGTTTTTTGAGTAGATTTCACGTACTGCAAATGTGAGGACTCCAATCACGCCTACAAGGACAACAACGTACTGCATGTACGCGTGATTGCTGCTCTGATCCTCTTTCATTGTGCCTAAAACGTGGTCGAAGTCGAGAATCGCCCTTTTCAGCTGACTCATTTTTATGTCCAATTCGTTCACTCTTTTGGTGACTCCTGCGCTGCTACGACTCACCTTTGCATCGCGAATCTCCTCGATCTTCTTCCCAAAGTTCTTCAGATCCTTCAGAATCTCGTTCCTGGCCAGATGAATCACGGTGTCTGGTAGCTCACCAAGCGACTTCCTCGTCAGGAACTCAACCAGCTCAATTTTGTGAATGAGCTCCTTCACGTCGCCGTCTCCGTGCCTGATCTCTGCTGCTCCTCGCGCATTGCTGTCCACCGCAGGCGTATGCGACTTGTAGATGCTGTAGTCTCCAACTTCATCGCGTCTGTAGAACGTGGCATCCTTCAGAACAAATGCCTTAGAAGATGAAGCATTTTTGTAGTTTGCGATTATTCCAAAATACTTCCCAGGCTTATTGGCTTCCATTGGATTTGCAAGTCTGAAGAAGTCGTAAACCAGCTTGTCTCCACTGTACAATTCGAGTTTCAGGTTCATGGCTGTTGCTATTGCCTTCAGAGTCAGCTCCTTGGCTCCAGCCAGTCTCCTTGGATTCAATGAGTCTCTTTTTGTCATGTATTCAGTCATGTCTTTCAACTCCTCTGTCCCGTCATTTCTGACGAAAACAACGTCAGCTGCCTTCCCCTTGAACTCTATTCCCCACGTGTATCCATCAAACTTGCTCATTCCACCGTTATGTGGACCAATTTCAGTCTTCTTGTCTGTGTAGTACAAGTAGATTCCAGCCACCTCACGTGTGTCCAAATCGGGCACGTCGAACGTAACAGACATCGACCAGTTCTCTGTCTCGTTCTTATCCTCCCAACGGACCAAGGATGATGCTGATACGCTCGATCTCAGAAAGAGCCTATCTTTTTTTACTAGCGTATTGTACAGCCCAATATTTGGAATATTTCGATTTGGCTTATACTCGAAAGTGTGGTCCACATCCTCCATGATACCATCTCCCATTGACTTGATTGCATATGCATTTAATATGCTAAGTAGCACCATGAATTGATAACAGCCATCAATTTATAATGAACCTGAAACAATTAATAAACATTGATCTATAAATAAATCATGTGTTCAATCAGTTACCCTAAAACAGGTAGTAAACAACCTAAAACACGAGAATAAAAGCTGATTTACAAACATAAACATGAGATTGGGGTATTTGACCACGATGATTGGAGCAGCACAGGCCAGGACACTGATTGTGCCTAAGAAACACAAGAATCACAGACTGAGTTTATCTCAGAATGTGCCAGTGTTGATAAACAGCGCAATGCACTCACAAACACTCGGTGAAGACCATTTTAAGATCCCAGATGACTATTCGTTCCTATCGAATGATATTGGATCAGTATGTGAGTTGAAAGGAGAGAAGAGAATCAAGGTCTGCAGCAACCAGGAAGATAGGAATCCATGGAAGATCGTTGATACGATCAGGGAGGTGCGCTTCAGGAACATTGATAACAAGTGTGTTGCGGTAGGAGACCACAATGCGAAAGATGACAGTTATTCGATACAGTTGTCACCTTGTGATGATAGAAGCATGGACCAGGTCTTTATTCTAAACAGGGAGCATGCAACCAATTTGAAGCCAACGAAGACGGTGGAGATGACGAAGGCTGAGACGTACATTGCGCCTGAGGAGACACCAAGGGGCGTGAAGCGAAAGAAGGTCTACGCTGGAAAGAACACGGATTCTGAGCAGTCATTTGAGTCAGAGGTGAACAGTTTGATCAAAAGAAAGAGAAACAGCTACGACACGATCATGGGGAAGGCAAGTGGAACCCAGACTGTGCATGGAGATGGAATGGGTGGATTTGAAGAGTAATTTGAATACAAATTATCTAAATGATTTGGTAGAGTATTTGTTGTTATCCTGGGTGGAGTGCCTCTGTAAGAGACCCATAGAAATTAAAGTTAGTGCAATATTCAAAGGATCAAAAACAATACCCCCATGTCAAATAATAAATTAGACAGTAATAATAAAGTGGAGAAGGAGACTGAAGATGGAGGAATTCAGAAGAGGATGAAACAGGATGATTCTGCCCCAGGGAGGGCGCCTGAGACGGCTGAAGAGGACGGTGAAATTAATTTGGATGAGAAGGCGGAACAGAGCAACGTGGAATCTGAGGAGGCCGATGAAGGGGACTTCTGCGAGACACGAAGTGGAAACGAGCAGCCTGCGACTGAGGCGGTGCCAAACAGGCCGCAACTTTCTGGGCCTGGGGCCATGCGATACGGAGAGACGCGGAACTCACCGGATGACGCTGATCTGACGGATGCGATGGTCTTCCTGAACCGAATCAAAGAGGACTACGCCCACGACGTGGGCGTCTACGACCAGTTTCTGGAGACGATGCGGGACTTCAAATTTGGGAAGGTGGACTCGACCGACGTGTGCAAACGAATCAAAATTCTGTTCAAGGACAATGCCCACCTGATCAGGTCATTTGAGGAGTATTTGCCACACCACCTGAAAATGAGTGGAAAGCCCCCTGTGGTGGCAGCACCAAGGCAGATGCCACCACCAGGCGCATTCCATGCGCCTGCGGCCGAGGCGTTCTATCGCCCGCCCTACGCCCAGCCTCGCCCATTTCCAATTCAGCCCAGGCCTCCTCGCCCGTACCAGCCCATTCCAGCCCACCCGATGGCTCTGCCCCAAAAAGGCGCCTATTTTCCAGGAGAGCAGCCCTACAAAAAAGACAGGCAAAGGGCATTCATCGAAAAGTTGAAAAAGAAGTATTCGCCAAACAACACGATCTACAGCAACATCATCGATGCGATGCTGAACCAGCACATCGACGTCGACTCGCTGCTTCGCTACGTCAGGACGCTCCTGAAGGACGACCACGAGCTGTTTGAGGAGTTCAAGGCCTGTTGTGATCCAGAACACAGGCAGATCGACAAGTTGCCTAGGGGAACACGAGAGAAGCTTGTTCTTGATAAAATCAGGCACATCATGAACGAGAAGGGGCTTACGCCCTACTTTGCAATGGCACTGAATTTCTACAACCAGGCCCTGATTTCAGGCGAGAAGCTCTTTTTTCTGATTGGGCAGCTGATCGACAACGACGAGTACGTCGCAGAGCTGAAGAACTTCCTGAAGTGGGCGCCAGAGAGGCGGAAGACGGCGCCGGAGCAGCCTGGGCTGGTTGGGTCCTATGCGCCTCGGGCTTCGCCTGAGAAGAAGCACACGGCCATGGGCCGTGTGCTGAACGACAAGTTCTACAGCGTGAACACGCACGTGTCCGAGGACGACGTCTACGTCTTCAGGCAGAAGAACGCGTCTGAGGAGTTTCTGGTGCGAATTGGAGACGACCGCTCCGAGTTCGACGTGCAGATCCAGCGCCTGAAGTTCTTCATCTGCCGCCTCATGAAGCTGCATGCGCTGCTTCCTGAAGCAGGAAGAGAAATAGAAATCGGTGACGTGGACATGTCACCTGGGATTCTGAAAGATGTCCTGCGCATGATTTATGGGGATGAGGCAACTGGGATGCTTGAAAAGATGCTTCAGGGGGGCAAGAACGTGATTCCGAGGATCATAAGGCGATGCTGCGTGGTCTACAAGGAGTTTCTGACGAGACAGAGGGAGAACAGACTCAACTGGCGCATTTCGATTGAGGCGCACTACTTCAAGGCCTACGACTTTGCTGGAATCGAGTACAGGAACGACGAGAGAGGCAACCTGAACATGAAGCACCTGAAGCGAATCAGCAGGGACCAGTTCGACGTGCGAGTTGGCAGCCGCGACAGCGTCCGCTTCGTCCACGGCCTCGTCGAGAAGTTCGTTCTCTCAAACTACAACCCAAGCAAGAGAGTGACCGTGGAGCAGAAGACGGAATTCTTCGAAAACGTCCTAACCAACATTCTCGCCAAGACATTCGAGTATTCAGTCAGCCTGGAATACTACGCCCTCTACTTCTACATTCTGACGCTCTATACGCGATTTGAGGAGATGCGTGGGCTTCAGGTGCGCCTGGAGGCGCCCTCTGCCGTTGCTCTCCGCCTTGGGCTCGTCGAGCCAGCGGCCTACGACGACCCAGTCAAGGCCGTCTTCGACCTGAGCATGCGACTGGCGTCGAGGGAGATCGACTCGGACGCCTACGAGGAGCAGATCCGCATCTACACGAAGACACGTGGCTACAAGTTGTACAATTTGAAGAAGTTCCTGGGCAAAATTGACAAGTTGGCCATTTCAATCATAGAGAAGTCAATGGACAAGAATGATGAGGGAATGGATCTGTTCCACATCCAGAAGGAGAATCACGTGATAATGATGAAGAGAGGCGAGAATGCAACAATATCAGAAGATGGCTTGGAATAGTAAAGTGGTTTACCATGGTGGTGTTATATTTATGAATTACATTTCAGGAGAGCAGTGGCTTGATGAAGACGCCGTAGACGAACAGGCCCAGGCAGATGAAAATGACCAGGAATATCGATCCAAAGAGGCGAGCAAACCAGTTGCGTCTCTCCTGGTAGACACGGGCCCGTCTGAGTTCACCTTCTGCATTCTCGGCATTCTCAGCCGCATCCTCCATGTTCAGCACCAGCTGATCAACCCGGTTTGCATCAGCCTGAACCAATTTATCGATTTCTGATATCAGTTCAACGAGCTGGTTGATCTTTTCGGCAATTCGTTCGATGTGGTCCTTTCTTTGACGTGCCTCAATCAGAATATTCTTGCACGAAGTGGATCCAAGGGACATTGCTGCATTCAGCATCTCCTCTGCCTTCTCTGGGTCATCCAACTCCTCTAACTCCGCCTCAGTTGCGTCTGGCCGTGCTATCAGGTACGTCTCCTTCAGTCGCGACTTCTCTCTCTGTTTGAAGGCGTATTGGACATTCTGAAAATGCTTCAGGGTCTCAGAGAGCTTCTTCCCAAGTGACGCAATGTGGCTCTCGCGAAGGTCTACGACGTACTTGTTCGCGCCACTCTGCTTCATCTTCCTCGTCTCAGCCGATGCCACCGTCAGAAACTCCTTGATTTGATTGGACGTGTGCGTAAACACTGAAATGATTCCGTCTATCTTCATGTCGATGCTCTGCTCCTGCTCCTGCGTGTGAATCCCAGTCTGTTTCGTCCTCATGTTCTTGTCCAGTTCTGAAATGTACGTTTCAAGGTGCCTGAAGTCACTTTGTGTCTTCTTGCACGCAGTCAGGAAGTCCATAAAGGAGATAAAGAAAACAATTTAGAAAATGCTCAAATAACTTAGCAGAGGCAGCTACTGCTCTCCTGAGCCAGTGCTGACTCCCGAGTTGCTGATGAACCGGAATACGACGGCAGCAATGACAATCATGACGACAATGAAGACGGTGTATCCAAACATTCGTACGATGTAGTTACGCCAGTCCTGGAACGTGCGAGCAGTCTCGAGCTCCTTCACCGCCTGCTCGGTCTCTTCTGCCGCCGTCTCAAGCGTCAGAACAATCTTATCAACCACGTCTGTGTTCTCATTCACTATTTTATCAATTTCCTCAATTAGCCCAACCAAAATGTTGATTTTCTGAACAATTTGGTCGATTTTCTTCTTTCTGTCCATGGCCTGGTTCAAAATGGCCTTGGCCGAGTGGCTTCCAAGGGCAAATGCAGCCGCAAGAAGCTTCTCTGCCTTCTCGGAGTCCTCCAACTCCTCCACCTCTTCATCAGTCGCATCTGGGCATGCAATCAAGTACGTCTCTTTAAGCTTGTTCTTCTCCCGCTTCCTGAATTCATATTGCACATTTTGGAAGGAATTCAGGAGATGCGCAAGGCGCTTTGAGTGGCCCAGCGTGTGGCTCTCCCTGAGACCAATCGTCTGCCTGTTTTCGTCCTTTTCTTTCAATTTTGCAGTGGCCTCCATGTTCTCCTGAATCCGCTTCTTTACGTCTTCACTCATTTGCATGAATGATGCTATTATATCATCTATTTTCCCATCCAACTTCTTCTCGTCCTCAAACGTGAGCACGCTGTTCTGCTTGATCTTCATATTTCGATCCAGGTCCTCCTTCTTCTTTTCCAGTCGATCAAGCTGCGACTGCGTCTTCTTACACGCCATCAGAAAGTCCATTGGGGCTTCTTCTCTTGTTTTCAAACAAATAAACAGCCATGGCAAGGCATCTTGGAGCACATCTCTCAATTTCAGGCGGAATACACACGTTACAGGCGAAGATGGACAGGCTGGGATGCGAGACATGTGCAATGTTTCTGAAAAACCAGCGCATGCATCGATTCAAGGAGTTGGAAGAGGAAGAAGCAGCCTTGTTTAGAAGAAAAACAAGAATTACAGGGATTATTCTTCCTCATGGGTCGTATTTGATCAATTTGGCAAATGATAAGGAAGAAAGAGGATTCAGGCTGCTTATTGATGACATGAAGAGGTGTAGGAAATTGGGAATAGAGCTGTACAACTTGCATCCAGGGTCAAATACTCAAAAGAACAAGGAAGAAGCCATCAGAAACGTAGCAAAGGCGTGTAACAGGGCACATGGGGAAGTTGATGGGGTTGTGATCTGTTTGGAGAACATGGCTGGGCAAGGAAACACGTTAGGAAGCAACTTTCTGGAATTGAGGCAGATTATTGATCAGGTGGAAGATAAAGAGAGAATTGGGGTGTGTTTGGACACGTGTCACCTTTTTGGAGCAGGATATGACGTAAGAACGGCCGAATCATTTGAGAAAGTGATGAAGGAGTTTGATTCAGTGATTGGAATGAAATATTTAAGAGCAATGCACCTGAATGATTCAAAATGTGCCCTAGGAAGCAGGAAAGACAGACACGAATCACTGGGAATGGGGCTGATTGGACTGGATTGTTTCAAATTTATCATGGAATCAGATTATTTTGATGGAATTCCGATGATTTTGGAGACACCTGATCCTGAACTCTACAAGAAGGAGATTGAGATGCTACGTGGATTTGAGAAGAGTGAATGATCACCTGAATTCTCTACTTGCATTCAGAATGTAGTCAATCAGGAACTCATTGGTGAATTCACTGTCTTTTGCTACTTTAAACAGCCTCTCTGGCACCGAATACTCTTTTGCCAAAATGTTTCTCCTCTTTTCCACATCTTTAATACCAAAGATGCTTTCTGATATTTTGATTTTCTTAACTGGTTCATCCTTCCTGGCCTCTGTTACTATTGTCTTGGTTCTATACTGATTCAGAACGTGGTATTGGTCTGCAATAGTCTCCTTAATACGCTCTTTTATCAACTTCTCATTCTTCAATTCAACTAGTTCAAAAACCAGGTTCTCAAACTCCTCCAACCAGTCGTCATATTTCTCTAAATCAGTTGGATTCCTTTCAAACTTGTACGTCTTATGAAGTTGCTGCCTTATTTTGATCTCTCTTTCCACCTGAATGTCTTCGTAGGTGCTGGAAATGAAGTTGATTCGCCTGAGCTGTGTGCCACATTCTGGACACGGGGCGTAGCCAATGCCAAATGTCTTGTACAGACACTGCTCACACAGTTTGTGGAAGCATGGACTGATGTATATCTTGATTCCTGGATTCAGAAATGAGTCATTTTTACAAACAGGACACTTTATTTCTGTCTGCATCTAAAATGGGTCTATAAAATAGGTAAAAATGAAATGGTTTACTTAATCAGCTTCATTTATTGTATAATAGTCTAGTTTGACTCCATTTCATACAGCAATTCATCTATTTTGCCTGTTGCTCTAATGCTCTCGCATATGTCCAGTATTTTCACCTTTCCTGATGCTCTTCCCTCTTGCGTCAGCTCCGCAAGATACAGCTGCACTGATCCCTTTTCATCTGAGAGAATTGGCCTCTTTGTGAACGTGCATTTCCTGTGACTTGACATTGGGTAAAATTTTACTACTTTTTCAAGTGCTCTAATTTCTCAATGATGACGTATATTTCACTTGTGAGTGACTTAGATCCCACTAATAGCCCATCTACTGCTGCTGTTCTTGCTATTTCTAGACAGTTGTCCTTGTTTATCGCACCACCATAATACACTGATCCTGATATTTTATATTGGATCATTGTTTTCCTGATGTATTCAACTGCTCTACGAATCTCATCTGGTTCCATAGCCTGCTTTCCTATGGCCCATGCTGGTTCATATGCAATGTCAAATTGTCTGCTTTCTTCTCCAATACCCTTTATCACATTTCTTATCTGATTATGCAATGGTAAATTCTTGTTACTCATTTTTTGATTCTCTCCAATGCATAAAATTGGTCTTATTCTGCCTGAAATTGCGTGTTTGATCTTTAACCTGATTGCCTGACTCTTCTCATTGCAGAATCGTCTTCGCTCACTGTGTCCCACCAAGGCGTATGAAACACGGCCTTTGTAGCATTTCAGGTTGCTCTCTCCTGTGACTGTTCTTGATGAAGTTGGTACATTCTGAATGCCATATTTGACTTTAACTTGTCTCACAGCTGTCTCAAATAGTAAGTCAGATGGCATTATGACCACTTCAACTGCCTTATCTTTGAATTCGTGCCTATACAGCTGCACTGTTTCCTCTGTACCCTGATTCTTCCAATTGCAAAAGACCTTGAATTTCTTATCCATTAAATCTGGTTAAATTGTTTCGAATTATCATTAATTGATTAGAACAGTTCCTCAGAACAATTAATTAGAACAGTTGCTCCTATCAATCAATTATTGAATCACATTCAACATCAATTACCTTCAGGTGATTGCTGCCATCTCCAATCCTAAAATTTTACCCCATGCATTCGATCTTGAATTCCGAAGGTGACTTCGACGTAAACGCGTTTGATGAGATCGTTGCAGTTGCATTTGACGCAGGGAATCCACACAAGAACGAAGCAGAGGGCATTCTGCTCAAATTCAAGGGCCTGAACAACTCCTGGACCAAGGTGGATTTCATTCTAAAGAACTCCAAGTCGCAGCAATCCAAGTTCATTGCTCTACAGGTGCTCGAAGAGAGCGTCAAGCACAAATGGAGCCTGTTTGATGAGACCATGAAGAATGGAATCAGACAGTACGTCTTCTCCTGTATCACAAATAGCAGTCATTCAGCCCAGTCTGACATCATTCTTCAGAAATTCAACATGATTCTGGTGAATATCGTAAAAAAGGACTGGCCCAAAAGATGGCCCACTTTCATCAGCGATTTGATCAATATCAGCCAGTCTACGAATATGACTGTCTGCACCAATGCACTTGAAATACTCAGAACATTCAACGAACAGGCGTTTCTCCAGGCTGACGACCTGACCACTGCAAAAAGAAGACGCCTCTTCAATGCGCTTCAACAGGAGCATGAAGCCATCTTCTCCTTCCTCACGAACATCCTCACGTACTCGGAGAAGCAGGATCTGGACACGCAGCTGCTCAAAAACTGCCTGGGCTGCTTTGGATCGTTCTGCAAGAGCACCCAGGCCAGCTGCATTTTCACCACCAGGGCCATTGACATCATCTGCAACCACCTGAACAGCTCGCACTCGATTGAGGTGCTACAGGCGCTGCTGGACGTAACTGAGCTCTTCGCAGTCAAAGACGAGCACGAAGACACGATCCAGATCAACATTCCTTCTAATTTCGATACCAGCCTTGTTTATGCAAAGGTGAATCTGATTCACAGGGCACTGCTCTCGTTCTTCTCGCTCTACATGTCCAAATTTGGTAGAGAGGACGAGCTGCCTAGGACGTACAGGAAGTTTGACAGGGAGGAGAGGATCTTCATCAAGGCGTATGCCCGCTGCTTCTGCTCGATCTACTACAACTTCTTTGGAATTCTGGAATACGAGGAGAACAAGAAAGGCCTTCTTTTCCTGGTGAACATCTCGAAAATAAATGACGCCGATCTGTTCAGGGAGATCTTCCCGACGTGGAAGCACATCATCGGCGAGTTCTACGCCGAGTATCCGATGCGATCCAACACCGCAAAGCCACTGAGCAGAATGCGATACAACTTCGTGCTGGTGAAGCTGTTTCCTGCCCTAATCAACTTCATGCCCAGGCCACAGGAGGTGTTCGTGAAGGTGAATGAGCTCGGAGAGGTCGTCCAGGACAAAAATATCCAAACAGTCGAAATCGAATTCTGTAGGAAAATGAAGGAGGTGTTTTACTACCTGAGTTTCTGCATCCAGGACGAGATCACCAAACACCTCGTGAATGAGTGCCAGAAGCACATGAAGAAGATCGAGCACTTCGACTTCGACTACTTCAACAAGCTGTGCTGGACCATTGGAGCATTTGCGAACACGTTCGAGCAGAAGGACGAAGAAAGCTTCTTCTACGAGTTCATGGACATCATCCTGTCGTTCTGCGAGTACGTGAAGCACTTTGACCAGACTGTGATAGTCTCATCGAACCTGATGTACCTGATTGGGCAGTATCAGCGATTCCACAAGAACAACCTCGATTTCACGCTGATTGCAGTCAGAAAGCTGTTTGAATTCATGCAAGAGGAGTTTGTGGGGGTGAAGGAGATGGCAGTCGACTGCTTTCTTCGAATAGCGGAAAACTGCCCCATGCAATTTTTCAGGCCAATTGAAAATAGCACGATATTTGATCAGATCATGTTGAACATGGACACGCTTCGAGCTGGACTGGGCTACACGCTCCAGAGGATCTTCGTGGAGGCGCTCTTCTCGGTGCTGCGATCCAATCGGATCCAGGACGAGAAGTACGCAACCAGAATCATGCAATCATTTGCTGATCACAGGCTACTGATCTTCTCAGAAGTCGGCGAATTCGACTTCCAGAAGACACGAGCTGTCTGCCACATGTTCAAGTGCTACGCCCTTGGCTACACGATGATTCCAGGCGTGTTCAGGAAGACGTGCAACAAGACGGACGTGGTCGCCTTCTACGTCGAACTGGCACGAAATCAGGGCCGTGTTCAGCCGAATTTCACCAAAATCACCAAAGAGGCGATCGTGGAGCTGCTCATCGAAGTGGCCCAGGCGGAGCAGGACGATTCGTTCTACAACACGCTGGTTGAAACAGTGCTCTTGGACTACGCAAACACGAAGTACCCTACGATCATTCGCCTGGCTCGAGTTGTTCTGGAACACTCATCGGACGCCTTCTACGTCCAAAGAGTCCTCTTCGTCCTCAACAACGTCCTGGTTCCATCAGTTCCACTCGTCAAGGAGGCTGATCAGAATCCAGACGTCTCAGTCGAGTTCGTTGGGCTTCTGGGCCATCTCATCAGCTCCCCGTCCCTCTACTCCACCAATTTCGCTGTTCTCATGGCCAGTGATCACTTTCAGGCCATCTACTCGGCCGTTCTCTCTGCTGTTGGATGCATGCGGGAAGTCAGTCTCGCAAGTCTGCTCTTTCTACAGCAACTGATGCGTGTCTCATTCGAGAACAAGAATCAGCCATTTTTCTCAAAATATTTCATGATCACCCTTGAAAACTGCATTGGTCTGATCATCGATAAGGACACCAGGCAGAATCACAGGCTTCAGGTGGCACTCTTCTACGAAATGGTAGCAATTGTGAAGCAGATTCAACCAATCTCACAAAATGGATCAAATCGAGTAGTGGTCTCACAATTCATCACTGGCCTCTTTTCCAGTGCATTTCCCAATATCACTGCCAAATCACTCGAATGCTTCATAAGGGGCATCTTTGAAATCAGAAGCCAGGAGGCATTCACAGGACACGTAGACGACTTCACAGTCAAAATTGATGAATATGGCACAGATGAAGACTTGGATGATGAATTGGCCATTCTTGAAGAAAGAATAGCTCAGGGTGGTACTAGTAGCAATAATAATAGTTGATTACAGTAGTCAGTAAACTGTTCTAATATCACATTTAACTGCACCAGCAGAATAATTTGCGCAATTTCCCCAGTATTCCACTGCCCTTGCTCTCCTCTGTTTTGTATCGAATCTGCTGCTCCTGATCAAAAATGATCTTCTCCTTCTGCTTTGCCATTTCTACGTACGCCCTGGTCTCGTCGCCCTCCTCCTTCGTCTCAGCCTTCATCTCCTTCTTCTTCACCTCCAAATAGGGCGTTCTGGCTGACTTCACTGGAACATTGATGTTCTCCTGATTGGACAGATCAAACAGGCGGTATCCTCTTCTTGGAACTGATTTGGTGGCATACGGCTGTACGCGATAGAGCGAATCAACAGGTCGACGCGACTGTTCCGAAAGCAGCTCGTCCTCGAACTCGATGCTGCCATCCCCTTTGACGATGCCATCAATGGCAGTTGATGAAAGATGGCAGTTGATGAAAGATGCCTGTTGTTTATTTCAACGAGTTCGTTGTTTTTGGTGACTGTAAAGACGTCCTCGTCCTTCAGGAAGTGCTTCATCTCCTCGTTGTGGACCTCGCCGCTATTGACGTCCGTTTCACCACTGTCAGAATGTGGTGGCTCCTTCACAGCACCACTGTGATCAAACAGCTTGAAATCAGCCATGTCTGACTCGTGAAGTGTCTTGGACTTCTTGGTTCTGTTTCTGCTTCTTGGCATTCAGTGCAATCATCACGGCTTTTTATTGGAGAAAAGCAGCCAATGAAAGAAGTGATGCAACAGACTTATATGCCAATAAACAGTCATTTTTAGAGCACGTGGCGCAATGGTAGCGCAGTAGTCTACGGAGCTGAAGGTTGTGGGTTCAAATCCCGCCGTGCTTGTATTTTGGTTATAAAGAGTCATTTATTCTTATGCTCTTTACTGTTTCACGTCCGCCTTCTTCCTGATTCTCTTCTTCAGGTACCTGAGCAAGTAGAACAGTTCAGGCGCATCTTTGCCAATCTCATTCTCAAGCAGTTCTAACTGCTTTGCAAATGAGCTGAAGACGGCCAATGACTTCTTGGACAGGTTGTCTACGTGGACTGACTCCAACAGCAGTCGA